ATCCTTAAAATTCTAGTACTTTGTGTAACCTCCTTCTGCCCCAATCACTTCTGCCACTCTTCTAGACATATTCTCTATCAATTTTGGGTATTCCTCTTTGGTATTTCCATCATACTCTGCTGTAACACTGTCTCATAGTTGGAATAGCCCCTATGGTGAATCTTGATATGCTACAAGCAATTTCTTGAGTGATTCTCAGGGGTATTCAATAGGGTTGATGTCTTGGGTCTATGCTGAACATGATAGAATAGTAATATCATGGTCTGCAAGCTATTGGTGGCTGATTTAGAGGTATACTTAGGATCATTGTCTTATCACAAAACAGTATCTTCTTCATTAACTCGTAACTCCTGCATGCTTCTTAGCAGACACTCCTTTCAAATGAGTATTTACTATTCTGTATTCATCCTCCCCTTTGCTTCATAGAAAATTCCCACTCCATTTTATCTCATATAGTCCTATACCATCAAGTTTTCGTCTTGAAACTTAAGTGTTTATTCAAAATTTCTTTATCTTAATGGTTGTCCTATCTATTTTAATACAAATTCCTTGCCATATGATCTCATCCTATTGATTGTAAGCTTATCTAACTAGATAAACCTCTTTCAGCTATTAGCAGTCCAATATTTGTACTTGAAAGTAGCATCTTGTCTTTTCTTTTTATAGGTTGGAGACAGAAGAATCTGTTTTTCTTGATTATAGCTTTAAGATGGGCTGTCTTGAGAGTCTGTCTGACTATTTGAGTAGCGATAATCATAGAAATAATGGAAATAATCAATTTGGTCACTTTATTAGCATCAGTGGCCTTTCCAATTAGAATATAGTGATTAAGAGATCTTAAGTCTTATAGAGCAACCTTCTAGATTGGCTACCAAATAACTTAAAGTCCATGATATTACTATTCTATCATGTTCAGCATAGACCCAAGACATCAACCCTATTGAATACCCCTGAGAATCACTCAAGAAATTGCTTGTAGCATATCAAGATTCACCATAGGGGCTATTCCAACTATGAGACAGTGTTACAGCAGAGTATGATGGAAATACCAAAGAGGAATACCCAAAATTGATAGAGAATATGTCTAGAAGAGTGGCAGAAGTGATTGGGGCAGAAGGAGGTTACACAAAGTACTAGAATTTTAAGGATTACATTAGTGAAACTCAAAGTCAAAAAAGTGTCCCAATGAGTCATCAAATTAAAATGATCATATCTTCACATAATGTCATTATTTTCCCACGGTATAGGAAATCGAAATAAAGCTGAGAAGCAGACCTTTCCAACACCTCCATATAGCTTAGTCATATTCCCACGTCTTGACACATGGTATAGCAATTACATGAAAAGCTACAAACATTGGGACACTTTTTTGAGCCACTGTAAGTGCCGAATTCGACAAGTACTTGCATGAGCGCGGCATTGAAAGGCAACTCACAGTCCACGACTCACCTCAGCAGAATGGAGTGGCCGAACGTCTGAACCGCACCCTCGTCGAGCACGCCAGAGCCATGTTGCTGGCGAAGGATCTTCCAAAGTACCTGTGGGCAGAGGCCATTAATTACGCCACCTGGCTGAAAAATCACCTACCGTCTAGGGCGACACCGGGTACCACACCATTTGAGCTGGTCACCAAGACCAAGCCCAACCTCTCCCATGCGCGAGAATTCAGCACAAGGATCTTTGTGCATCTTGAGGATGCTGGAAAGTTGGAGGCCAAGGTGGAGGAAGCAATCTTTGTGGGGATGGACACCCAGAGTAAGGCCTACCGGGTGTACTGGCCGTGCAGAGGACGGATTTCCGTCAAATGCAATGTCACCTTTGCGTCTAAGGAGGTGACAGTGGCCGAGGATACCCTGAACGAGGGGGAGTCCAACGTTGTCATGCGGTATGACAAATATAACAGCGGCAACAGTAATAATAAGCCAGACGAACATAACAGCGGCAACGGTAATAATGTACCGATCATTCAGCCTATCCCGCCACCTGCCACCCCAGCCAGACCACCCCAACGTCCCACAACCCCACCAGCTCCAAGGTCCACCCACACCAGACCTCCACCAGGATATTATGCAGCCCTCAATGAGGGGGAGACTGCGTCCCTAGCTTTAGATTCCCTATTGGAGGCGTCAGAGTTGGATCTCTTGGATGAGGAAGGACACATTCACCTTGCATTGGCTGCCACAGAGCCAGAACCAACACTTCAGCAAGCTCTAAATGGTCCGGATGGAGTCGAGTGGCAAGAAGCGCTGGATTATGAAATAAGTCAGCTTGAGAAGTTAGGTATGTGGGAAGGGATGGACCCACCTTGAGGCGCCAACATTATTCCCTGCCACTTTGTTTTGGCCACAAAACGTGGACCCGACGGAGAAAAGCTCAAGTTACAAGCTTGCCTAGTCGCCAACGCTATGGAGTCGATTACTTTGAGATGTTCGCGCCCACCGCGAATATGACCACCATTCAGACGGTGCTAACGATGGTGGCTCAGAAGGACTGGGAGATTCATCAAGTTGATATAAAAAGTGCGTACCTCTATGCCAGTATCCAAGAGGACATCTACATGAGACCACCACCCAGATATTTGAAGCCTGGGCAGGAGGGGAAGGTGTTGAAGCTTAAGAGAAGCCTACCTGGACTGAAGCAAGCTGGTTTTGAGTGGGCAGAGGAGCTAGCGGGAGTATTCGTTGACCTGGGTTTTAGCCGTTCGAAGGTTGACCAAGCCGTGTACTTCAAACATACCTCGAAGGAGCACGTTGTCATCACGGTGTCCATGGACGACATGGCCGTCACAGCGAATCACATATCCCACATCACCCAATTCAAGTCCCAGCTTTGCCGATTCTTCAAAATCACCGACTTGGGAGAACTAAACTGGTTGTTAGGTTTGAAGGTAACGAGAGACAGGACTGCACGTATGATAACCTTGTCGCAGAAGGCGTATGTGGCGACTCTCGTCAAACATTTTCACTTGGCTGACGCCAAGAATGTTCAAACACCAATGGAACCTGGAGTTAGCCTCTCATCAGACCAGTCCCCTTCGATGCACGCAGAGCTGCAGGATATGCGCGACGTACCTTACCAGAGGGCCATAGGCTCCTTGATGTACGCCGCAATGAGCACGCGGCCAGATATTGCCTTCACCGTGTCATGCTTGTCCCAGTTTATGCGCAGCCCAGGCAGACCTCACTGGGAGGCAGCCAAGCGTGCACTGCATTACCTGAAAGGTACTGACACCTTCGAACTGACATTGGGGAGAACAGAAGGAGGACTTGAAGCTTTCGTTGACGCGGATTGGGCCTCCCAGGCCCATAGGCATTCGACCTCAGGCTACATTGTGTTCCTCCACGGAGGAGCCATAGCCTGGAGTGCTCGTAAGCAACCTATAATTGCTTTATCCACAGCAGAGGCCGAGTACATCGCACTCACCAGCATTGTCTGCGAACTCCTGTACCTCCAACTTCTCATCGAAGAGCTCTACAAGGCTCATATGCACCCCATCCCCATCCTCTGCGACAATCAAGCCGCTATAGCACTCACGTCAAATGGAAAGTTTCAGTCACGCACCAAGCATATCAACCTCCGGTACCACTTCATCTGTTCGCACGTCAAGGACGGAACGTTCAAGCTCCACTACTGCCCCACAGATGATAACATAGCCAACGTCTTCACGAAGGCAGTACCACGACCCCGTTTGCAAAAGCTCAGAGTCCACATGGGCCTAGCTTGCGCTCGAGGGGGAGTGTCGTCGTCGACCGAATCCTCCGAGAATGATGCCGATGAAACCAAGGGCAAGGCACGCCCGTGACAAGTAGATGGTGCGAGCGCAAGGGCAGAAAGGCAGGCACAAGGAGGATGTGACGTCGGGGCCGAAACCTGCACAGTATCAATGTTTCATTCCAATATTCTAGATAAGAAATCACTTACAGTATAAAGTCTAGCGCCCACGCAGACGAGCGTCTCAGTTCTTTCCCAGGAGACTGAGACATAAGTACCTATACCATTAGCTATTCGTATACAGACGCTGACACGACATAGTACTCTTACCTTCTAGGTACACGTTTTGTCAATAATGAGCTCTTTCCCAGGAGACTGAGACTACTCTTACCTTCTAGCGCGTTTACCTTCTCCAGACAGAATCCCCCCTCCCTCACTGTCATGCATTCAGCAAAATTGCTGTGTTGACAAACCACTTCACATATGCACATGTCTGTAGATTTCTGTGTCTCATGTAATTTCCCTTGCTCATTAAATACATAGCTATATCTAAATATTTTTGTTGTAGTCTACATGCCTCAAAAAATGACAAGTGTCATTTCTAAGTCTGCTCTGATGCTGCTGTGTGGCATGTGTTTTGGTGGCTTTCTGGCTGAGTTTTCTGAAGCTTTAGTGAGTTTCAAAATCTATTTTGAGTCCAACTTTTGTTTATGTACATTTGTTCTATTCTACTTCTGTGCTCACACTATGACCATGATAGTGCTGACAACAAAGGTTCAAAAGCAGGAAGACATTTGTTGAGAATTTGAAATGTTGGAAATTCAAATATTCAAGGACATGTCACATCAAAATAGGAGAGTGCAACATACAGCATAGTATAGCACAATGCAGGAAAAGCCCATGAGAAAAAATTAGACATGATTGATGACAATGGAATGAGGAAACGGAGAAAGAAACTTGGTGAGTTGTGAGATCAGAGGCTGTATACAATGGAGGAAACGACACATCAATGCAACAACACAACGAAAATAAATAAAAAGTAAACTAAAAAAAAGTAGGCGGGTTCGGAGAGTATGGTAAGAATGATAGAGAAATAACGGGTTCAGGAATACCCATAGAATCGTTGTATAAAATTTTCTCCTACGTGTCCCAGTCCTGCTCCATTTGGTGCATGTCATTGTGCAGAGCGCACGCCTCCAGCTTCCCATAGGACAAATAGCATGCAGTGTCCAATCAATGCAAGGTAAATGCAATGCGACTCATGCGAGCCCTGTCCACCCAATGTCCACCTCAGAGTAGTTTAAAAATCCTCTCTGCAAGGCTTGTATCACTTCGCACAAATCATGCATTTCTCCTTCCTCGTCGTCGTTACTGCTTTGACAGCATGTATGTCTGTCACTGCATGCAGTCCCCAATTCACAACCTGCCAACACGACACTGATTGCTGCCCTAAATATCTCTGTGCATCAACGTCGGTGAGTATGAGTAGTTGGCTTTGCATCCAGGATTTCCTATTGCTCACTCCATGCACCTCAATCAGTCTCCCGGTCAGAAAGTGTGCAATCATTAGGCTACCGATGTGCTGGTGGCCTGTCCATGAGCACATCTAGACGGTAAGTCGTATTTCTGCTTTCGCATTTGTGCTGTGGCTAATGGCACAATGCGTAGTTCGCCGCTGACTTGGTCAATGTGTCAGTTATTCCTAGAGTCTGGATGATTTTCCCTGTTTCATGGGCCGTAGAGGTGCCTTTGAATTAGTTTGAATATTCTATATAAAGAGATGCGAGGAGCAATTTCGGGGTCCAGATTTGTGCTGTGTCATTCATCAGCAAAACTTGAGTACTTGAGTGTCCATCGCCATATGTACATAGCGGCTGCAGCAGTCGAGGCGGCCACTGCTAACGGGCGTGTCATTTTCAATGTCTGGCATTCAACGTGGTCTCTCAGGCTCGCCCCCTACTGACATCATCATCAACGCATTTAATGCGTGTTATCCATCACTCAATTCAATACCTGATGTACGTACCTCTGAGTGTCCCAGGATCTGCCACCGTGACAAGCCGTAAACACCCATGTCGAGGTGATCTGAGCTGACATAATAGTAAGGCAAGAACGACCAGCAAATAAACGCCTACTTACCCACGCTAGCTCCAGAGGTAAAAACGACGACGGCCAAGTCACAGGCAAAGCAATGTAATCCAATAGTCGTCAGATTCGGTCCAACGTTCGAAACCACTTAGACTAAACCCGCTGTGTGCAACCCTAGTCAGTTGAAGGCTGCACAGATGAACTAGCCGGTCACGAAAAGGCTATAGAAGGGCTTTAAAGAAGTGGAGGGTAGAATTATTGGGAACACCTCTCACCGTTGTCACTGACGACAGAGCTCTTGAGATCTTCCACACTCGGAGATTGCGGACTCGGGACCAGTACTATGGGACGTACAAAATACTGAGGAAATCACCAGCTTATTCATATTGTTGCTCATGGCGCCAGTAAGAACCAGGATCCCGGCTTGTAAGGTTATGAGTTATAGTAGGCGGCGTGGTCGTTGTGAATGGAACCAACATATATGCCGGTGCCGACTTGGTAAGATGACAGGGTGCATTAAAATGCAGGTATGATGAAGTGGACTCACCGCTGTTGGTCTCAGACTTGAATGGCGAACACTGGTCCCATCAGAAACGTTGCATGATTTATGCGTCAGTCTCAAATGCTCCCAGTTGGAGTCAGAGTGGGGGCCAAAGGATGAAAAACCCAGCTGGGTATTGCAATAAAGCGGTCATAATTTACATAGTTTATCTCTTTACTTAATGAACTTCGCCATGAATTTTCTGTGTTCGAGACGGTCAGAGGCGGCGCAGCAATAAAATGTACCCGACGCACTTGTGGAATTCTGTCCGTAGCAGGTCGTTGACGAATTGGCCAGATTTGTCTTTCTGATTCGCCGCCTGGTTCTTAAATATTAAGTCTGAGACGAACAATGTTAGCAGAGGACGAATTGTAAAGGAACCGAGTGACTCACCGTCATCCCATCTCCGTTTCACGGAAAATGTCCCCGGTATAGTTGTATTCACACCAGGTGATTGTCCCAATGCCGCAGCAAGATTTAAGAGAGGATTTGAGGTAGCTATCTCAGCTTCTCGTGCCACTGCAGCACTCGCATTCTGTTCCCGCTCTTGACGGGCCTTCTCTTCTGCCCGCTGTTTCTTAATCTTGTCCAACTCACGCATCAACTCAGCGGTCTCATCTTCCTCGTCCGACTCTTCACTGTAAATTTCGCTGTCAAGGAGCAGCACTCAAAAATGAAGTCAGAGGAGAGACGCTCACCTTTCCTCGTCCTGCTCTTCCCCATTCTCCTGCTCTCTAGACTCAGCACCTTCCTCTTTCTCCTCGTCATCATCATCGTCCTTGTCCAGCTCCAGAGCTTCTTCCAATAGCTTCCTCCGCTTGTTAGCCTCATCCCCTGCCTCCGTCGCGTTTCCATTTGTGAGTGTGAGCGGTAGCGGTGGCTTTCCCTCTGCTTTTCGCTTCTTGTTTCGTGCTTCTTCCTCCGCTGCTAATAGATCCATGCGTAAGTCTCTCCGTGCGACGTCCCCAACGGACGTTTGTCCAGGTTGCCTATTGACATATCATAAGCTCCACAACTCGAAGACGGTAAACACGGAAACTTGCCGGAATTTGAGCTTCGTGTGTGCTGCCATGTCTCGGACAGAGAACTGTCGAGAGCCACCTTTTACATCGCGAGCTTGGGCAGGATCCCATGTCGGTCTATGTGCTGTGGACATTGTATCGAAAGTCGACGGAGTATGCGAAGCCCTGGCCTAAACTTAGCTGTATGCGACTTGAACAGTATTGACGGCGAGTCGGCACGAATTCCAAACTCAGCCTTTAGCTCCGACAGACCCAGCGCGGATCTATGGTGGAGGATCGATCTCGCCGAGATTCCGCCGACTGCTCTACTACCTACTGATATATGTAGGATGTTCGTGCGCAAGCTCCAAGCAGTTTCTACGGTTTATTGACGCAACCAACTTAAAAAACAGATCTTTCTTTGTGTTCTAGTTTTTCAATGCCTGGATCAGACTCGGACGCAGAGGACGACCAGGTCCATCAGAATGTCAATGGACTAGCCGTACAGTGACCTCGCAGATGCGCCTGACATCTATGTAGGTTACCTTCCATCATTTCGTGCACACTTGCGAGATACCAGAGCCCACCTCGCTGGGTCTATTCCCTTTTATGACGCCTCCCATCCCGTCCCTTCAACCGAGTCTACGACCCCTCCACATACTAACCAAGATAACATTCCCTCTTCTCCTGAACAAGTCAAAGAAGGCACTGAACCATCACTATACAAATCAAAACCAGCGATCTGGAGTTCCTCACTCGCTTCTTGGTCCCAATCAGAGGTGGACGCGTTCTTTCACGCGTTGTCGATCTACTCTCGCTGGCGGCCGGACTTGATCGCAGAGGCCGTAAAGACCAAAGGCGAGGTCGAAATTGTAGAGTTCCTCGTTACCCTGGATTCTTGCGCGCGTTCTGGCGTCACCGAGACCAGTGACATTGTGTCGACTGCCCTCGCCGCGGTAGAAGTATCAGATGAGTGGATAATCGCAGAAGAGGCCATGGCTGCCGCTCTGATTGTCGAAGAGGATCACGGTGAACTTCAGGAACTGGGGGCACTAAGAAGAAAGAGGGTAAGGGACGCAAAGGTGGATATGATCCCGAGAGGAAAACGGAGGCGTGTCGCGGTCGAAGTTGGCGCAGATGCACTCATAGCCTGTGAGGATTCAGAGAGGGATGATGTCGAGGACGAGCCGATGAGCGTTGAGGTCGCCAAGGGAAAGGCTCGCTTCGAAGAATGGCACGCGCGTAAGATCGCTGCTTGGGAACGAGATGACTTGTTCAAGAAGCTCGATGACAGTCATTTACAAGTCTTGGATGCGATGCTGCGCGAGGATGAGGAGGCACAGAAAAGGAAAAGTCTAAGCCGCGAAGGGAGTGCTGATGTGAACCCACAGGGCCTGGAAAACGAAATGAACATGAACGTACTCTCTCCTACGTCTCGCCGACGCCAGACAAAGCGACTTTACATGCGACGAAAGCGTGCACAGCTCCGAGGCGAAGATGCGGTACCAGTAACACTCGCGAGGATGAGACCTGGGAGGAAGGGGAAAGAGAAGGCAATCACAGTAGTGGAAGAAACTGAGAAAGAGGAAGTCTTGCCCTTTGGAAAAGAAATTGGGGATATGGTGATAATGGTTCCAGATCTTGCTGAACCTGAACTCGAAGCCGATGACGATGACGATGACGATGACGCCGGGAACGCGAGTAAGGCGATCACTAAGAAGAGCATTAAAGTGCGTGGAAAAACGCGTTACCAGAAAATTAGGTTCGATTTCCAAAATGCTGGGATCAATGCATCCTACCTCGGTGAATACGATATGGATCTCTTTCATCTTGGGCGCTTGGGAAAGCTCATGGGGTACGTCTTGATCGCGAATCTCATTGCTGTTTTCTCATTCATTGTGGCACAGGATATACAAATCGCTCGAGCAATGTCCAGAGGATGATGCTAGCACTACCTTCATTTCCCCAGATTTAATACGGTACCTTCAAGCATCAGTAGTTGCGTTCACGACAGATGTTATACACCGTGCGACCGTGGGGAAGGAACAGGATAATGAACTCAAGGGCCAGAAAAAAGTTTGGAGGTGTGTGCCACACCAGGTAAATAATATTACATATTTGAACCTCATCCAACTCACTTGTATCTCCGTGTCTGCCAGATAAAACAACCAGTTGTCGAACATGCATTAAAGACGATCGGTGCGAGAACCTTGAGTCAGCAAGAGCACTTTTCAAAGCTTCTTGATCGGTACGATTTATCCCCGGACAAACGGAAGTGCAAACAAAAATCTAGTCCCCCCGCAGATTTGCAGGACGAGCGAGCGAACGCTGCCGGACATTCTCCTGATGCGAAAAGCTATGAGATGGCACTCTCGCCTCATCGTGCAATATATACACCTGCATTTCTCGCTCCTGCCTCGTTTAATATCGGTGTTGTAGACACTTTTTTCCCGGGTTACGATGGATCGAAAGCCCTGATCAATGAGGATTCGCGCGATACGAAGGAGGGGTCGTTACTCTCGGACGAGACAGATGAAGAGGCTTTAGAAAATGAGTTGATAGAGGACGAAATGGTGGATCAGGTTGATATGGAAACTAGTAAGAAAGTCGAAGAGCAGCTATGGGCCGAAGTCGAGAGGGAGACGATGCAAGCGTAAGGTCGAAGTAGTAATATTTGAATGCGGATAATCAATTTTAGCTACCCCATTACTTTATAGTTGCTTAATAGTTATAGTACAGTACAAATGTGTGTCAAGCATTGACGACTTCAAGATGGGTAGAGTCAGATGTACAATTCTGCGCATTTTAGCATGTGATATGCATCAGTAAACAGGGGGATGGAATACGAAGTTATGGTCATAGGCGCTTCAGTTGCACAGCCTATATATAATACTCAAGTTGTGAGGTAACTTGTAACGAGGATGAACGTACCAAATTGAACTTGCGGTGTACTCAACTCTGAATTGACCTCGACACCCATGGTGACTAGGAGGCATAACGCCGTTGTATATGGAAACTCAAGTGAAGCCGCGTCATTGATTAGTGCGGGGAACTGCCATGATTCTGACACAGGGTAATGAGTCGATTTCACTTTAGATATCATATAGTCGCAAGTTACTAGTACTCAACCAAGGCTGAATGCTACTTGAGATGTACTTGACTATAGTTCTCCATAAACAATGATGACATTGAGTCTAGTCTGTTCAGTTGACTTCACGGAGATGATGGAAATGCGATATTAGCCAGTCTGCACCGATTAACCTACTTTCTATTCGGCGACTGTATCGAGAGTGTACCAGGATATAAAGCTTGTGTTGCCATAGCCTTTGAAGCATATCACGCATACAGGAAACAACATCTTAGTGTTATCAGCCGAGGCAATACCGTTTCGCAGACAGGATCAGTACAAGGCTACCCCAGCAAATAAGTAAATGCAATGGGCTAGTAAGCGTCGTCATCATCAACCATAATCACCTTTAATCTCCATCCTTGCCAATCGTCATCCGGCTCGTCATCAGCCCATTCAAGATCTTCATCACCAGGATCTCCTGCGACACCGTTCATCTTGTGATCAACAAGGTCGTCAACACCACCTAATATGTCAATAGCCTCATCTTCCTGGAGCTTTTTGCGCATGGCAAGTTCAACTTCATTCTCCTAGTTATCGTTGTTAAAGAGAAGGATACGAATGGAAAGTTCAGCTTACAATGTCAAATTCTGATTCTCCCTCTTCATATATTACATTTTCATCCGCTTCTTCAAAGCCACCGGCAAATGCACCCCACCGCTCTGGTGATGGACAATGCCAAATGAGTACAGAACCTTGGTTAGTCGTTGAGGCGAGTCGAGAGGCTTGTGGATGCCACTAAAAATAACAACGATTGTCGTAACCAGTATCATGACTGAGGAGACGTACATGAATATCAATAAGAGGTTCCCTACCGCCGTCCAAAGCGGTTGCAAATTGACCGTCATTTGAAATATCCCAGATGTATATTTTGTGCGTCGCTGGATCCGCCGCACCTGTCCTCGCACAAATGGTTCAAGTCGAGTCGATGATGCTGTGGAGCAATTTACCTCCAGCAAGCCACTCTCCATCAGGACTATAAGACATAGCATGCCACGAGACCTTGCTGATAGGATCATTGAATCTATGAGTAGGCTCTAATTCTGTTTCTAAACCTGCGCATTCGGCACCCACGATGGGTGAAGGATAAGTGGGGAGGATGAATTGCCTTATAGTTCGATCCGAGGAATTAGTAGCAAAGCGTCTAAAGACCGTAGTGTAAACATAATGAATATACCGAAGAATAAGGCACCTACCGCCCAACCTTCGCGAACTCCAGACTCTTCATGCTACCTGCACCTGTTATGCGATGCCGTGCGACCATCTTTGCTGCCATTAGATCCAATTTCCATGATAGGCTGCCAGTAGGAATCCTTACAATTTTCATTCTGCTATTAAACACAAGTACGTTCCCGGTCGAAGTCCCGACGAACACGTGTCTCCCAGACGGATCAAATCGCGCGGTAGTCATGATGGAACTGAGTCCGTACGTCAGTGCAGGTCGTAACGCAGAAACCAAGGCAAAATACCGCGCCCGTTCGTCGTCGTCATCTTCACTCAAGGCCTCGCACAGCTCCACTCTCGCTCTGTGCTCCTTGCGTGAATCAACTACATACGCCTCGCCCGTGCTGAGCAGTGCAAGTACTATGCGACTACGCTTGCATTCATCGTAAGCACATGAGAACAAAAACAAAACAAAACCGACGTGCACCTATTTCGTGGATGAAAATACGCGCTAACAACCGGTGCATCAAATCGTATCGTATTATACCGTTGTGGAGGATCCACTGGAGAAGCCAGATCCCAGATAATTACGTTCCAGTCTTTGGACGACGTCAGGACATAACGGGAGTTGCGGGACCAACTATGTAGATACGATCAATTGACACGGGATCACTGAGAAATGCTGCGTCACTCACTCGATGCTTGTTACAGCCTTGACGTGCCCTTCACACCACCGTATAACAGCGCGGGTGTCGAGATCCCAGATAGCAGCTGAGCCATCTGACCGGCCTGCTGCGACGAATTTGCCAGTCGGATCAAAACGAGCAAATGATGCACCAGAGACCAGTGAGGTTTGTACAGCGGTTGGGTGTGTAACGGTAAATGGGTCTTAGTACGATGGCTCAGTATACATTATCGAAAATGATGCGCAAGCATACTGAGTAAGGAAGCGTTCATGTTTAATTTTGTCCAGACGACAGTTTCGAGCTCTGAGTGATATTTAAGCAGAAGGGGAGTTGGTGCTGATTGTAGGTCACGTTGAACTGTCACGTCGCGTCTGTTCTCCAAACAGCGATCATCGAGCAGCAATGAGCTCTTCAACACTTTCTAATCTACTCGCGACCCTTGCCATTCCTCAAGAATTCTCCCGCTTTGACAAGCTTACAGATGAACAAATCCTTACTCGACTCATTACGTGGAAAAACAGTGTTAGTATCAACCTCACGACCCTTCGCGATCTGCTTGCGACGCGACATGGCATCCAAAGCCTACCTGTCGACGAGCAGGCAGATATTGCTGCGTCCGTAGCTGCATTCGATGGTCCTGGTGAATGGATCACAGATGATGTATCGTCTCTCGCACTACGTATGATCCCTTTATGACCAAGCTACCTTAACGGTGTCTCATTCTCATCGCAGCCATCCTGGACCCGCTTACAGAACCACACATCCCTCCTCTGGTGCTAACGCGTATCCTGACACATTATCTCAAACCCGCATTCTCTACAAATCCGCATCCACGGCTTAATTTGCAGACGGGGCGCAAGTTACCTCAACCAGCGGATACGCAAGATGCATATGAGGGACAGGTATGGAAGACGCGTATCGGAACTGGAAATGTTTTGGGATGGTGTTTACGAAACATTGAGGTACGCGCAGCGGATGAATAAACCTCCGAAACTCATCTCAATCACGTAGGCCAGCACGTATGAATCAATTTGGCACCTGATTCTCCCTCCTGTGATGACTTACCTCGACGATTTCGAAGCCCCTTACAAATTGCGGGGAGTGCAGCTCGTATCCGACTTGCTCCCTCGCGTTCCTCCAGAGCTTCTTAAGCGTACAGGAGTCGACGGCCTTTTATTCACAGTACGTCAAAATTAAAATTGAACTAATACGAGGTGTCCTATCATCATCTTTCCTGTTGTCACGTGAATTCCAATGGCCTTGAAAGCTGAAATTCTTGAATGCAGTCTTTAAGTAGTACATTTAATCATTTGCGCGATCCGTTCACCCCGGATCTGATTCGCGCCGCCGTTCATACCACCCTGCATCTGATTGATCTCATCTCACCACCATCACCGGCTCCGCTTCCCCCGACATCTGGATTTCCCTCCCAAGGCCGCACCATAGTTAAATCAGGGTCCTTCCCCGCAAATCCGGCCACACGATATGAACATTTATCCACACTCCTCGGTTCCTGCCTTATTGGCACTGTCTTCCTATATGCATATGCTGATCCTGAGGCCATTCTCGCAGCGACAGACATGCTTCCGCTTGTACTTGTCCACATCGGAATAGGCGCTGCTAGGTGGCTCAAGGTGTGCCTTTACCAAGCTAACTTCTACTTACGCGAATAACTTGCAATGGCTGGTCGTTTCTAGGCATTAATTCCGCAGTTGACCCATGCACTTCTTCCCCCGGCCGTTCCTTTCCCCACCCAGCCGCTTGATGTCGATTTGAGGCTTAAGGTGTCTTCACTCCGCGCACTATGTACTTGCATTGAAACTTGTGCCCCTCGAATGTATCTGTGGAAATGCAATATCACTGATGCAACTGGACGTGCATGGGCAAGTGCCATGGATATTGAATATGAAGGTCATACCCAGCTTGCGGATCAGAGAGGTAGGTAATTTATTCTTGGTTGAGTTCCTTTGTAATTATCGGTATCCAGGGGCAAGTAGCCTGGTATTGGAATACAAAAATCTTCTTCGAATGACCTGTGTTAAGCTGGCAGAAGCATGCCCAAGCATCATTCAGGTATGATATATACCCGCGTGTCATGTTGGTGATTCTTATTCATATCCAGGAAGAATATCAGCAACTTATAGCGTTTGATTCTGCGCTCTTTGATGGTCTTGTTGGCAGAAGTTCTTCAGCCACGACAGACAAATAACCCCTGGTTCTTTCTTGGAACAGTGTGTTGTAAATTACTATAGATCAACCAGAATGTCCGTAATCCAGTGGCGATATGTAGGTACACAACAACGAAAAAAATATGCGAGTGCGTGAAAAGCGCGTCTGGATGAAAATCTGCCAGGATCGACTCCACAAAGCACTGTCACGCAATGGCGAAAGAAATCGCCCAGAACCCAGCCCACTATGATCATGATGCTCAATACCGGGCCGATGCGGCGATGCCAGATTAAAAATTCAATTTGATGCCTCATGTCTTGCGGGTTCCTCGGTGGTTGGGGTTAAATAATCACGATGCAGGCTGCACGTGGACGAGGGTGCAGAACGGGGAGACCGTGAGGCACGCATTGGCACCATAAAATGTACATGGCAAGATGTGAGTCGCTGAAATGGGGTTGTGGGCAGATACATATTCAAATGATGCTCAAGAGACAGGGGAAAGCTTGAACGCAACCCCAGAGCTCAGCGTTCCCACGCAGCAGATTGGGTAGGGGCACTTTCCCAATTGCTCCTCACAAAGGGCGAGTGATTAGATGGGCGGCCTGCATTTGTGAAAAACGAGGGTGGGGTCGCATTTGCTTGAGAGGCTTGTAGATAAAATGGATCTGTGGTGGTAAATAGAGTTTGCGATTCAACCGGTGTGCCGACAATCGTGATAGGCGTGGGCGCAGGGGTTGGTGCGCCTTTCAACCCCGTGTAACCCCAAATAAAGGTTTTTGGAGACTGCGGGGAAGACGGGGTTATCATGTCCTCAACCATGCGTTCCTCATCCAGCTCGTCTGGGTCACACCATCCCTCGTCTACACTGGGTCGACGGGAACGCGGACAGATGATGCTGTTACTGCGCTTCTTTTGAGTGATTTCTACAGGCATATAACCTGGAGGCCATGAGATAGATGAAGAAGGTGTACGCGTAGTAGGTGTGGTGCAATGTTGTACGTGTGTGGGGTCACACCTAATCGCGCTCGCATTTCCATACGAGTTGTGTGAGCTGGACGATGCACAAGAGGGCGAAATTTGAGGCGCAAATAACGTCTGCGCGAGCTGCGCCTGAAAATTGCAGCGCCACGACGTGGACAGATAAGCATTTGTGGGGGAATAAGGTTTATAGCATGTACCTGGAGAGCTGCAAGGTCGATAGCCTCTTGACCAATGTGATTCGCATTGAGGGAGGCTACGAGGTCATCCATGGACACGCTCATGGTGAAGAGCCTTTGTGTGTGTGGCGGAAGGCAACGGAGGAGAGATGAACAGAGCCGTCATGCAGAGCCTTGTCAGGAGTATAAATCATTAATTCCGAACCACGTGGTTACTAATTCCATACAAGGGTAACCAATCTTTCGGTTTCTTCCGGTCCGTCTTCCTTAGCTTACCCGTCATGCTCCGTTCCAAACTGGCGTGTAATACCTGAGAGTGCTCCGAGACTCCGAGACAACATTGGCATGCATCATGATCATTGATGCATGATGGCATAACTTGTCCCCCAGCAATCTTTTCGCAATTTCAACGTGAGATCATTCACCTTCCTTCGCAGGAAAACTCTCGCATCACGCCAAGTTGACGCACTCGGAATTCTTTTCTTATTCAGACTTAGACGCACGGGAAATTAATCTTCTCTTATCGACTATGCTCGGCATCTACTTAACCTTACCACCCTTCTGATGTTCTGGTACATATGCTTGGTACGTTGTTTCTCATATTTGCGTACATGGTGACTAATACGTACGGTCTTGTGTGTGCTGAGCTAACCGTGCCGGTACTTTGTACGGCCCACGAGGCTGTCCCCCCATATTGAACCCTCAGAAACTAGCAAATACCATTTCCCGCGGACTGGATAAAGGCCGCTTGTTTATTCTTGGCTGTCCCTTTGGTTTGCGTCTTCCTGTGTGTCCATCTATAGATCTATGAAAGCTAGATTGCTCGCGTTGCCTAATTCGCTCAGCTCAGCGGCGGTATAGGCGGCAGCTTCCCGCTGGTGGATTTCTGGGCAGAAATGCGGACCGTCTTGCCTATCCCACTCTATCCACGAGAGCATCCATCGGGTCCCGTTTCTCCTGCAATAAACACGTTCTGTCAATGAATTCATCATGGAGTTACGGCCTACGTTCTGATTGTTCCAGAAGAAGCGCTGTGGCCGGCGCCGAAGCCCAATTAGGTTCTTAATGGTTATTCACGGTGGTTCCGGCTTAATTCAGTGTCGTAAATTCTATTGCAATCGAGTGAAAGTGTTTTCACTAAGTGCTTTTGCCATTGTCATAATATAAAATGATACTCCACTTGATGCAGTATAAGTGTGAAAATGTCGAGTTGGAAATAACAAGTCAATGTCATTAATATAGCAATTTTGATCAATAATGACAATCCCAAAAAAACAAAACTGTTTGAGGCTGAGCTATGGTGCATTTCACTTAGAGGCTGCTTACTTTAGTGCAAAATTTTATGTCCATCAAAAAAAAAAGACCTGACTTATTCCTTCAGTAGAAACACTCCTTTTGACAGTACAGACATTTCCTCTGAAGTGATTTTCATCTAAGATAGGACTCTTGCACAACCAACCAACCTGTGACACATTGTGACCTGATGTGACCTGAATGAATGACTCAGAGTAAGTATAGTCATACATCGCGATATAGAGACTGACATCTCTGTGGCCTCGTAGAGGTCTATTTTCCAATGCATGTAGACATGCTAATCATTACCCAAATCATTCCTATCATATCCGACTCAATATGTACCAAACCCAAAAACATCAGACATTGGACATCACATAGGGTTTCACATTGGACTATTGGATATCATGTGCACTTGTCCTACCTATGTCTATCGTCCAGTCTCATTCTGCTAGCCCCCCTAGGTGCATAGTTACTTGTTTTCACATCCCTAACATTTCAGACCATGTTATTACATGTATTCCCATAGTCTGCAGTACATCATGTCTTATTACATAGGACATCGGATCCGAAATATTGCGCTACTACTTTCGTCTATAGGGTTCTGGATTTCGATGTATCTACATAAATATTGGACTCCCCATAGCATCATCATCATCTGAGTAGAGCAGAGTCGTTCTCCGACACTTAGGGGTCAAACCCAATATTTCATAGTTCTTAGTTGATATTGCAAATATCATTCCTTCACCATCTGTATCCATCATTGTTATTATTGTGCACACCACTTGCTTTTCCAACGCTCACTATCACATCACTATTAGTTTCTGATAACCCGAACCCGATAACCCTAAATCCGAAAAACATCGGACCCGACACTTTTGCATCAGACATTGTAAATATACCTTTGGACATTGTTTCCTGTGCTCGGACTATTGACCCCACATCACTCACTGACCCCCAAAACTATTCCCAGACTGCAGACCCCTGGGTCAAATGCACTTGTCTCACCAAGTATAGCAGACTAGGCAGTGCAAGACCACAACATAAAAATATCAGTTTGGAGCCATCTTTGTATAGCCCCACTCTGTGTCATATTCCTACAGCGAGTACCATAAGATACAATGTATTATATCAACTGTGCAATGAAGTTGCTTCTGATTAATGAACTGGGAGATAGTTATATATGTTATGTACAATAGATTATATGAAATGATTAGTAAATGATACTTTACAGTCCTGCTTTCTTGAGCTCAGTGAGAATAGAGTAAGGGAGGACTCGATGACCTCTGTATTTCTTGCTTGCCCATGCTGCTTGTTTGCCTGTTAGGCCCTTTTTATAAGCATCCATGAATCTGTGAGAACGGCATGCATATCTATATTTTCAGGTGAGATAAAACAATCAAATAAAAAAGGAGCTTACTTCTGCATTTGCTCCACAGTCACAGACTCCAGTGCATCAATGAGGTTCTTCGCCAGATCTTCCTCACTAGCTGAGGGTAGCATTTGACAGTATAATCACTTTGCATATCCCCAGCACTGTTTAGCTTGCAGTGAAACTTTGGAAGGAACAGTACCAAGATTCCATGTGATTCAGCAACAAGCTCAAGTGTAGATCTGACATTCACAAAGTCAGGTTCATTGTACACCATCCATCGACAGCAGCAATGCTCAACACCAGACTTACATGCAAAATTTGGCTTACATTCTGCATGAACATCTGCCATATTACCATAGCCATGCTCCTCCAGAATTTTTGCCATGCCCTTGAAGATACCTACATGTGGATGACCTTCAGGGAAATAGAACGACTGCAGGGAACCATCCTCAAAGGTGCCATCAGCCATGCAAATTTTTGTCTTCATAGGCTTCCTGTTAAGGTCGTACTCTTGTAGGGTCAGATCCAAAGACTTTGGCCTCAGCTCATATGCTGTGCCCCTTTCCCAAGTACTGTCCCTTATTTTTTGCCATCAACAATGAGGCAGCCATCCACGCCTGGTATCCAGGAGAGGAGGTGTTTGTATAATGAGTGAGAAATGATGCAATTGATTCGAACCATAGTTTAGTCCAGTTTTCCAGCTCAGCATTCTTATAGCTACAGCCAATGTTTTGTGGTGGCTTCAGGATGGTTGTAATATCTTTGAGTGCACTCGCAGCTTCAGAGACTCCAGGTGGCTTTCAGAGTTCCCATACAAGTCCTGTGCCCTCAGGACACATACTGAGCTCTGCATTTGTCTTGAGTGGAGGCTCATCCTCAAAAATGTCCTCATCCACTTCCTCAACATCTTCATCACCATTAATTTCCAGTTCAGCCTGCTCAGGTGACTTGTTTTTATCATTAACTTCTGCTTTGTCATGATCACAATCAGCCGTAGTGAAAATATTCTTGATGGTGTCACCAGACATTGCTGAAAGTGACTCTTGCATCTCGATAATCTTGGCAGCATCAAATATTATTCTATATTCAGTGAGAACAGAATATTGACTATGTCTATGGAAGGTGAAGTGCTTTAACAAGTCCTGCACTGGTGGCCCTGGGCTGAAAGAATATGTAATCCCAAGCATTTCTGCATCTTTGTTGGTGGGAGAGTCAATGTCTACAGGCTGATGAGGATGTTAGACATGGAAAACGAGTGTTTTCAAGTCTAAAACTTACCTGCACATCTTGCTTCTTTTTTGCTTGTGCCTGCTTGTGTCTGGTTCTCTTTGTGTTCCTTGTAGCATATTTACTAAGATTCTTCAAGTTACCTAGTGCATACTTCAGCATTGTGCAGCGGTAATCTTAGGATGCAGATGTGGAGGTCACGGTGAAGGTTTACCCTTTTTGTAGTGTTACCTCCTAATCATCACACACAAAGATGTCCTTTCTGAGCCCATAAGACTCATTTTTCTAATGGCACTCGCAATTCTCAATTTTTGAAGAATTCAGCCCCACAGAGTTGTTCTAAATACAAATACAAAGAAGACTGCAGAATTTTTTTTGCCAAAAAGTCAAATTTACAATGGCCATTAGCTGTACACTCCAAAGTCACGCAAAAGTCACTTATGGTCATGTGATGTTAGTTGGTTGTGTAAGAGCCCTATCTTACTTGAAAACTGAGGAAGTTGTAAATTTCTAAGGTTCAAATTGGTGGGTATGTACCAGAAGTGTTATACAGCATCAAGAGCATGTGCTACAGTTAGTGTTGCCGCAGCTCCAGCTTATAACTGGCTTTAGCCAAAAGCGGTGTTGGAAGTTAACCGGAACCGGTGTAGAAACAACAATACTGAGAGGAACAAAGAAATGCTCCTGACTGTATCTAAAAAGTTGTAGGTCGTGCGTTGCCTAGTCTGCGATACTTGAGATGGCAAGTGCATTCGACCCTAAAGGGGAAGCAGGTGCAGCGGAGATCTAGAGGTACGCGCTTCAGCGAAGCACGAGAAAGCGCAGGTGCACGCAAGGTACGAAGGCGCGGGAACGCGCGCGCGTATTAGCGCGAAGCGCGGGAAAGCGCGCGCGTGTAAGCGGAAATAAGAGAGACTAAACTTATGTGAAGATATAAGCAAGATAAAGGATGTGAGATGTGTTGTGCTAATGAATAGATTTCTACTGCGACTTTCTAAGTAGTAAGTACTAGGTAAAGTTGGGTGAAAAGTAAGGTAAATAATAGTATGTACTGCTGGCGCTTATATAGCGCGCCTAAGCGCGCTCATGCGGAGCCGAAGCGCTACCGAGCAGGTATGTAAAAATATATATGAGTGAGAAACTATGATAAAAATAAAGGTGGAACTATGCTAATAAAGGAAATGGAAATATACGCACTAGGGAGCTTGGTGGACAGTGGATGGATGCATCTGGATGGCTGGCGCTATAGGGCGCGCGTATACATCGTGAAGCGCGGGAATGGTGCGCGCATGGCGCGCGTTGCGCGGGAAAGCTGCGCGTCATATAGGAATCACTGTGGATGGTACACAGAGTGATGCTGCGAGTTGGTGCTGTATACTCCCTAGTGTAAAGCGCCATATCACACTATGAGATGCATGAGTCTCTACATCTCCCAGGGACTTTGAATTCTGAGTGTCCCCACTCAGCGCACGTGTGGTGAGGATTTTGCGTGATAGTATGCGAGTGCGATGCCTGTATGATGCTTGGGTTGTTGGGTGATGAATGCGCGAGCATAGGAATTATCGTGTGGATGTGCGTGAAGCGCAGGAAGTTGCGTGCATGGTACGTGCGAGGCGCGAGAATGTGCGCGCGCTATGCGTGAAGGCGCGGGAATGAAGCGTAGCATGGTGGGTTGCGAGGGTGACTCTGGTGTGAATAGTGCGCCATGGGTGTGGGGTGATGATGCAAGGGTGATATGGATGTGGCGCGCGAAGCATGAGCGAGACGCGCATGTACAGCGTGAAGCGCGGGAAAGCGCGCGCTCACAAGGCGCGAGAAAGCGCATGAGTGTCGCGTGTGTTGTATTGTGCATATGATGCGAAGTGGTGCGGTCCAAGAGCGATCCAATCCAAGTCCAAACCAAGTCCTGCTAGGCGCGCTAAATATTAGGTGGTAAGGTTTGAACAGTGTGAGTAAAACTATATGTGAAAATGCGAAGGAAAAAATGGTAAACTTTGCGGATGTCCTATCCGACTTGTCTTCTTCGTGCGGCTGTCGACATCTACACCTTCCTATGAGCGAGGCGTGGGAAGCGCACACGCGCGCGCATGAGGCGCATGGGCGCGGGAATATTGGGCGCATATGCGTGCGTTCTAAGGTAAAAAGAGCATGGTGCCGCGTCATGCATGCGAAGAGAAAATAATACTATTGAGCTAGGCGGACACAATCTAAGGTTGTTTTCTTGTATGTTCTTCTAGGCAATCCCTATATGCATATATATCAGTGAGTTATTAGTCCTTGGGACGGCATTATAATGAGAGAAACAAAAATGAAAGCGCGCTGGACGAAACCCAGGGTAAAATGAATGATATCCTATGAAACAACAATGTTATATGTTGTTCTTTGATGCGCGGCTGAGGCGCTTGATCCTCCTCCTTGAGCGCGTGCGAGTGCGCGTGACTAGCGCGCTTCGCATCTCTTGCGAGCTGACGCTTTACTCAAGGTAGGGTTGGAATGAGCGAGGCTGGCGCGCTTGGGGGGGCTTGTAACTGGCAGAATGAATTCCTGCACAACGCGCTGCAGGTTGAAGGCGCGCCAATGGGAGGCGCTGCAAGGGGTGTAGGGGCGCCCTACAAGCTGATAGGATGCGCGCGATGTGCGCGCCTTGGTGCGATTTCGCGCGAATTTAATTATATTGGCCGAACACGCGAGGAACGGCCATTTCTCTGCAAATGCATTAGCGAGAGACATGTATAGTGAAGAATTAGGCGCAAATGTTGCGCCAATGGGCTGTAAGGGTGGTATATCAAGGCGCAATAGGCGCATAGGTGAAGGAGAATAGTGTGCATCAAGGCGCGCAGGAATGAAATTGACATGGTAAGCAAAAGCGCGCAGAATGTGAATAAATGTGGGAAGTGCAAAGTTAAAGATGATGATAGGGGAGTTAGGCGCATATGTATGTGTCAGGCGCGCGCCTAAGTCGCGCCTGGATGGCTGATTGAAATATACTTTGTGTTGAATGATAGAAATGCGGTTTAGAAGGGGAGAAGCGATAGAAATGCGGTAGCGTGAAAACTCTGCTAAAATTATGAGTGCGCGAGGCGCGGGAACGCGCGCGCATATTGCGCGATGCACGTGATCATGGCGCGTGAATAAGGGGTGGTGCAAAGATGAAGTTACAGTGATTGGAAGCATCATATAGCTCCTTAAGAGCTTTAAACATGAAAGAGACAGAAAACGCGAAACAAGATGAGGAAAAATATCCAATGCCTCTAGGCGCGCGCATTGCACGTCCTCAGGCGCAATATGGTGCGCCTGAGTTGCGCCAGGGTCGCCTGAGACATGCTCTGCTTGGTGGTCGTGCAGCGTGATGCACGGATGTTTTACCGGTGCGCGATAGTCACTGGAAGCAAAAAGCGCGACATGCGCGCAATCGTTAGTGACAATTGGAGTTACCAGAGGCAAACTCTGGTTGATGCAAGGTGCAACTTGAGCCTCTGATGCGGTAGGAGGCTCCTCTATAGGCGTGCTAAGGTGCAATAGATGTTTAGGGTCATCCCTGACCTCTAATGATGCGAGCAGTGATGGTGATGGTGCGATTGGCGAGGTTTCTTCCTTAAGCGATGCGATAGCGAGGGGCGAGCGTGTTTCTAGCGGTGCATTAGTGTGCAATAGATGTTTAGAGTCATCCCTGACTAATGGCGAGGCTATAGCGATAGGCGCGTGCGATGTGATAGCGATAGGTGCGCGTGTTTCAACTGGCGCGTTAGTGTGCAATAGATGTTTAGAGTCATCCCTGACTTCTGACGCGATTGATGGTGATGGTGATGATGCGGATTGTGAAGGAGATGGTGCTGCTGAGGATGATGGTGAAGAGGTGCCTGCAGTGCGCATCTGGTTGCGCTTCGCGAGCGCGCGCTCGAGTTCGTGATCTAGAGTGATACAGTCTGGTATAGCTTTGCATGCTGGCATAGTTGATGGTGGAGGTGTGTGTGAATTGCGCAAAGGCGCGGGAAAGGCGCGCGCGCGAGGCGCAAGAATAGGAACTGGTGGCCTTTTGTCAAGTGCAACTTCTGAGGGTGCGCAATAGAAGAGTCCAGCTGTTGCATTAGCGCTAATGGTCGTATCCTGCGTTGCGCGACTCGCGTGGTATTGATCTTTGTACTTAGCCACTTTAGCTTGCACTGGCGCAGTTGCTGTGACTAAGGTGGCAATTGGTGCTACTATGGGCGCGCTAACTGGCGCGCTTGGTGCGGGAAAAGCGCGCGCAGGTAATAGGAACTGCGCAGCTGCGAAGACGTCCATGAATGGGAATGGGTCGTATGGGTGGTGGTCAGGGAACTTGATCATAAGGCGCAAGCGGATTTGCGCCTGAGCATCGCTAGGGATTCCTTCCATGAATAAGCGGTCGCGTTCGGCCTTTCCAATACGGTCTTCGTCCATGAGTGGCTGCATAATCTTCCTGAATGCGCGCAGGTAACTGCTTAGTTCTGTGCAAGAGGGCATTGGTTTGTTAGCGTATTCGCGCGCAATGGTGCGCAAGTCCGCGAGCGCGTAGCGTCTTTTACCATCCCATCCAGGATACATTACCTTCACCTCATCTAAAAAGGCGCTGTAATTATCTACTGCCGCTTCTGGCATGCCTCCCCATAGTTCTCGATCATCGCGCGCAAGGTAGCGGATGATACCTTTGATGCGGTCGAGTCCTTGGAGTCCTGCTTCATCAGCAAGCTGCTCGTATGCGTCAATAAATTCGGCGAGGTTGTCTGTAGTGCCGTCGAACTTGGGCGCGTTTGCTGTGCCGCGGATGGGCAATCTATAAGGCATTGAGGCGCATGAAAGGTGCGCGCGCAAGGCGCACAGGCGTGGGAAAGCGCGCGCACAAGGCGCAAGAATGCGTGACTAGAAATTGGTTAGCTTTTGAATATGCAAAGAGATTGACCTTTATGCGTTAAATAGCGTGAAGTGTGAAGATGCGCAAAACTAGATCTTGCTGACTGCTCCCCTCGCGGTGGGCTCCAGTTGTAGAAACAACAATACTGAGAGGAACAAAGAAATGCTCCTGACTGTATCTAAAAAGTTGTAGGTCGTGCGTTGCCTAGTCTGCGATACTTGAGATGGCAAGTGCATTCGACCCTAAAGGGGAAGCAGGTGCAGCGGAGATCTAGAGGTACGCGCTTCAGCGAAGCACGAGAAAGCGCAGGTGCACGCAAGGTACGAAGGCGCGGGAACGCGCGCGCGTATTAGCGCGAAGCGCGGGAAAGCGCGCGCGTGTAAGCGGAAATAAGAGAGACTAAACTTATGTGAAGATATAAGCAAGATAAAGGATGTGAGATGTGTTGTGCTAATGAATAGATTTCTACTGCGACTTTCTAAGTAGTAAGTACTAGGTAAAGTTGGGTGAAAAGTAAGGTAAATAATAGTATGTACTGCTGGCGCTTATATAGCGCGCCTAAGCGCGCTCATGCGGAGCCGAAGCGCTACCGAGCAGGTATGTAAAAATATATATGAGTGAGAAACTATGATAAAAATAAAGGTGGAACTATGCTAATAAAGGAAATGGAAATATACGCACTAGGGAGCTTGGTGGACAGTGGATGGATGCATCTGGATGGCTGGCGCTATAGGGCGCGCGTATACATCGTGAAGCGCGGGAATGGTGCGCGCATGGCGCGCGTTGCGCGGGAAAGCTGCGCGTCATATAGGAATCACTGTGGATGGTACACAGAGTGATGCTGCGAGTTGGTGCTGTATACTCCCTAGTGTAAAGCGCCATATCACACTATGAGATGCATGAGTCTCTACACCGGACCGAGCCATGTGTGACATAATTAATGACTTGGCTTTGGTTAATATAACCACAGTTAGCAGCTTGAAACCGACTAACCGACTAACTGAAAAATCAACTGGTAAAATATAGCAACATACAGTACTAGAGTAATATGTACTATGTAGTAGCTTGAATCAGTATCGAAGATAACAGAAACGGGCAAGTGGCTGATGAACGTTTGAACGAAGTCAGTAGCGGGAATATTAAGCAGACAGTTGTGCAATCTCGTCAATCTCATCACACTCCTCCTCGGCAACTGACTTAATGACCTTGTCAACATGTTGAGATGTTGTTGCTGTCCAGAGTGTAGTGAGGATATTGTCCTCATCCTTGTCACGGAGCATCTCCTCTTGAGAGATGGCCCACTCCCTCGTAAAGTCGAGATGCTCTTTCTTGAAAAAGAACTTGAGCATCTGGAGTGCCTCCATTAAGGTTGCACTGATGCGGTTGCGTTTCTTGGTCATTGTTTCAGTGCTAGATGAGAAAACATGCTCGCATGGAACTGCAGACACTTGGATAGGGAGGTAATCCATCGTGATAGCATAGATGGTTGGATATGTTCTGCATGCAAGCTATTTTAAAATTTAATTGAGACGTTGGGATTGATACAATGAAAAACACTTACCTCCCAAAATGCAAGGGGATCTGTGCCTTTGGGGCTGCGGTTTGCTGTGACATACACATTGAACTCATGGTCAATTGTTTGTGCACCTTGACTTGAGATTTGAACTTTCATCCCTGGCAGGCCGTATTTTGTGGCGAGTGTTGTGCCATGATGCTGAGGACAGGTTGCCTGTTGCGGTGCCAAATGGGGCTTTTCAGCCCGGTACTCTTCCATCTATCAACACATTAGACGAGGATCCATATGTTGCATAAAGACTTACCAATGATTTGATATTGTTTTTCACATCCATGACAAGGTCTGGATCCCAATATTTTTCGATCCACGTCAGCGCAATGCAAGGGTCAACAACTGCACAAAGACCCAAGAGGATGTAAATGAGAATAAGCATATTTAAGTAAACATGATAAACCAACTTACACATCGCAACAGAGTATGCACAAGAATGGCCCATGCGATCATAGTACTCCCTTGCCCAACATAAGCCTACTTCAATGTAGGGCGCACACCAAGGTATATGGCTGTGAAACTGCTTCCATTGTGCCATAACACCTCAAATGCAGGTATTGTGTGGCCTAGCACTGGTCTGCTTTCACTTGACATGCTCTGCTGCACAGTATGCGGTATCTGGATGTGATGAAATGATTCATCAACTGTAGTTTACGAACACCAGTAAAGATTACCTCAAGTACCAGCTCAAAATCCTCCAGGACCCACCACTCCATTGGGCTCAAATTGTACTGGGAGATGTTCACAGTTCAGAGGTGACAATATAAAGAAGTCTATAGCCTGTATGGGAATACAGTGGCTCAAAAAAGTGTCTCGATGTTTCTGACTTTTCATGTAATTGCTTTATTATGAGCCAGGATGTGGGAATATGACTACACTGTAGGGAAGTGTCATAATGCTATACTTCTCAGCCTCATTTATGCTCCCTGTAGTGTGGGAATATGATGTCATCATGTGCAGATATGGCTATTTGAATTTGGTGACTCATTGAGATACTTTTTTGACTTTCAGTTTGATCAACACAATCTCTATAATTATGATACTTTATGTGACCTCCTATTGCTCTAATCACTTCTGCCACTCCTCTAGACATGCTATCTATCAATTTTGAATATTTCTTCTTAGTACTCCTTTCTCACTCTGCTGCAACTCTGTCCTACAGCTGAAATAGCCCCTATGATGAATTTTGATAGGCTGCAAGCAATTTCTTAGATATTTTTCAGTAATATTCAATAGGGCTAATGTATGGGGACTGTGCTAGACATGATAGAACATTGATATTATGGTCTTTGAGCTGCTAGTGACTAACTTGGACATATACTTGGGATCATTATTTTATTGCAACATGGTATCTTCCTCATTAATATATGATTTATATATGCTTCTTAGCAGACTCTCATCTAAAATAGAGATGTACCACTCTGTATTAGTTCTTCACTTCACTTCATACAGAGAATATACACTCTATTACATCTCATATAGCTCTATACCTCTATGTTTGTTACTCCACACTTGAGAGTTTACACAATTTTTTTTCTTTTAGTGGTTCACCTGTCATTTTATGGATGTATTCCCAGCCATCTGACTTCATTATATTTATCTTGGTCTTATCTCATAATATAATTCTCTTCCAGTCCTCTTCCAGTCCAGTACTGGTCTTTAAAGCTGAAGTTTACTTCCTATTTCTATAGGCTAGGGATAGGATAATCCTCTTCTGATTGATTGTAACTTTAATATTTGTTGCCTTGCAAGTATTGTTGATGGTTTGAGTGGAAACAGTGCTGGAGATGATGAATTGAATTAGGTGGCCTGAGTAGCATTAGCAATTAGCAGCCTGCCCAGTTAGAATATGGTAAATGTGAGATCTTCATTCATGTGAAGTAAGATTTCAAGTCAGTCACTAGCAGCTCAAAGACCATAATATCAATGTTCTATCATGTCTAGCACAGTCCACATACATTACTGAAAGAGGACTGGAAGAGAATTATATTATGAGATAAGACCAAGATAAATATAATGAAGTCAGATGGCTGGGAATACATCCATAAAATGACAGGTGAACCACTAAAAGAAAAAAAATTGTGTAAACTCTCAAGTGTGGAGTAACAAACATAGAGGTATAGAGCTATATGAGATGTAATAGAGTGTATATTCTCTGTGTGAAGTGAAGTGAAGAACTAATACAGAGTGGTACATCTCTATTTTAGATGAGAGTCTGCTAAGAAGCATACAGAAATCATATATTAATGAGGAAGATACCATGTTGCAATAAAATAATGATCCTAAGTATATGTCCAAGTTAGTCACTAGCAGCTCAAAGACCATAATATCAATGTTCTATCATGTCTAGCACAGTCCCCATACATTAGCCCTATTGAATATTACTGAAAAATATCTAAGAAATTGCTTGCAGCCTATCAAAATTCATCATAGGGGCTATTTCAGCTGTAGGACAGAGTTGCAGCAGAGTGAGAAAGGAGTACTAAGAAGAAATATTCAAAATTGATAGATAGCATGTCTAGAGGAGTGGCAGAAGTGATTAGAGCAACAGGAGGTCACATAAAGTATCATAATTATAGAGATTGTGTTGATCAAACTGAAAGTCAAAAAAGTGTCTCAATGAGTCACCAAATTCAAATAGCCATATCTGCACATGATGACATCATATTCCCACGCTACAGGGAGCATAAATGAGGCTGAGAAGTATAGCATTATGACACTTCCCTACAGTGTAGTCATATTCCCACATCCTGGCTCATAATAAAGCAATTACATGAAAAGTCAGAAACATCGAGACACTTTTTTGAGCCACTGTACATCTATCAGAAAGGTTTGAGTCTACTGGAGATGAGACTCACCTGATGGAGCCAACGTAAATGATTAATCATGAAATATACTGAGTCCCATCTCGTGTTGACATCATGCAGAAGCTTAACTACTGGCATAGTAGTGACCTTGCCATTCGCATCCTTGAACCATTTGTCAAGGTTTCCTTGCTTGATCACCTCCCGAAATGCATGACAACGCAAGCCTGATGCACGGATGACATGAAAAACCTGTCAACCCAATGTGATGAGATCACGTCTCAGAGCTTCCAGGTATTCCTCCTTGGTGATGGTCTCACCCGACTCCACCCATGACTCTGCAACATCCCGGTAGTTGGCGAGTGCATACTTCTCAACAACATGCTTGACACATATGTTGATTATATGTGGAAAGCACATAATGCAGCGATCTATAGGATCAAAGTCAATATCATGATCCTCAAAAAGCTCCACAAGGTGATGCATGGCGGCATTGTTGTTGCTTGCGTTGTCAAGGGTGAAGTGACCAATCTTGACAGTGACTCCAGCGCGATCAATAAGATGTAACATAGTCATGGCAAGGGCCTTGCCAGTGTGACTGCCTGGAAGGCTATGAAACGCAATCAGTCCTGCTTTCAGTCAAAGTGCTCCTGTGGCTTCATCTTGTGCAATCCAATGTGCAGTCATAGCAAGGAATGGTTGGCAGTTTGGATCAGACCAGATGTCACTTGTGAATGAAACCCTCCCTGCAGCATTCTTAGTTGTATTAGATGATGTGATCGCACATACACCAGCAGAGGACTTACCATGAGTTAATGCTTGAGAACTTCAAAATATTTCTTCCAAGCTTCTAGAATTACTTGACAGAGCTTGGTGCAATGAGGAATGTCGACATCATGCAAGTCCTGGCGCAGCAGTAACATTAACTGGCGCAGTTCGGGGCATTCTATGATGTTCAGTGACTAAGGAAAAGGCATGATCAATACAGTCAACTCCCTCATAATGCATACCTCTTGGGATAGCCCCAAAAGTATGGCTTATTGGAGAGTATGGGGTATCCAAGAGAGCCATATTCCACCGCTCTGAAGACACAAAATTTGTACTTGCTGACATTAGTATTGCTCTAGTAGGTACTATGAAGCTATTTACGAGAAAAATAATCAGTCAATGTCGTGTCCTTCATGCCCTGCATTTTGACTGCAAGAGTCTGCTGTCCAAACGACCCTAACATCACCTCGAGCTTGCGCGCAAATGGTTCGTCGAAGGTCCCAAGGTATTTCCTCAATGTTAAGGTAGCCTGTAGTGCTTCACGACGTGTCGGGCCTGGCGCAGGCACATCAATATCTGAGTCATTGTCGCCATCGTCATTGCCTCCAGCAGCCTTCTCCTGCAACCTCTTTGCATCCATCACAGACCCAAAGATCTCCTCGTCTGTCGCATTGAAAATGTTCATGGTCTCGATTGCCGGGTTCAGAAGTCCTGCAATATCCATCTGATTCGAAGATTGGAGAGCGCCGGTTGCCTCAAGATCATCCAAGGCATTTTTGACAAGTGTCTCGGCATGTGCAGTGGGGTTGTTCATGGCATCTGTGAAATGGACAAGGGACGAGATTGGAATGATGGGTCGAGTGGGTGATGATGTTGACTCTATGTCAGGTAAAATGCCAGCGTGTTGCCAACAGTTTCGGATTGTTGTAGTGTCCACTTCGTTCCATGTGTCTTGAGCAAGTCTCATTGCCTCGAGTTGGTCAATGTCATAGATTTTGGAGGGAGTGATGCTGGCTTCGTAGTGGTCAACTGCACAACGGATGAACTTGGCGCAGTAATGTGCCTTAAAGCAGCGAATGATGCCCTGGTCATTAGGCTGTACATGCGCAGTGAGGTTTGGCTCGAAATTTTCAACTCGGATGTTGGTGAGGGTATCAGGAACGATGTGTCCTGAAAAATTGTCCTGAAAAAGAAGAATCTTCCTCCTCTCGTGTCGCATCTTCTGATCCAAATCAAACAACCATTCTTGATAGAGCGAGGCTGTCATCCATGTCTTGGCATTGTTCCGATAGTAAAAGCCAAGCTGTGAGCCTGTCTTGTTCTTGAACGCACGAGGTTTTCGTGCTTTTACAATGATTAGTGGAGGTAGTTTCTGTGAGCCATCTGCGTTTGTCGTGAACAAATAGGTCAACCAGACTTTGTTTCCTTTGATGCCAGACTGCAGCTTGTCTGAAAGACCACGGTCAGGAGGCATGCTGATCAACTTTGTTAAGGACTTCGTTACTGTTCAAAGAGGAGATAACTTACGCATAGAATAATGAAGATTCATCTGCATTGAAGATGTCGTGTGGCTGATATCCATGCTTTTTGATAAGCTCTTGCACATGCTGTCATTCCTTATCAACAGTTTTGGAGGCCACTGAAGCAGCTTCACCATGACGTTTCATTTCCTTTAACCCAGTTCTTGTCTTGTACCGAGTCAACCACCCCTCACTAAGGTTCAGTCGCTCGTCATCTGGCACACCAACCAAGTCCGCAAATTTTGTCCATTTTTGGCGGAGAACCATGCCAGTGAGAAGAATTCCGTCAGCCATCGCCTTTGAGACCCAGAGATCCAACATTTCGGTGACTTCAGGGTGCTGAGTCTGACAGATCCGTTTTGCTGAATGAGCTGGACCTGTGGTGATATCATATTCCTTGCGCCATTTTTCTTAATTTTTACACCAGGCAGATATTCTCGGCTGTTTAAGTTGAAGGTTTGGGTAGATTGCATCAAAATGCTTCGCCATTTTGCTCTGATTTTCTCCGTTAGCATGGTGCCAGTCAAGGATCTTGATTCTCTGCTCCAATGTAGCATTTTCTTTTTTCGTAAATGCTGGTTTCTGCGCGACTTTTTGCTGGTTATCACTGCCAGATATTTTCACTGGCACTTCAGGACCTGCAAATAGACTTAAGTATAAATCAAATAATTTAGGAATGTCATACGCTTGCGCTTTGAGTTCTTCGCACTCTTCTCACCACCTCTCTGGCAACGTTCTGTAGCTTCTCCACAACAGATCTGTCATGTGAGTTCAGCCTATTGAGCCCTTGCTCGTAGTTTGATGCATGGTCCAAAGCATCGACAACTCTTTCTTCATCCACCAGATTTCCTGCATTATCCAGCCACTCCTGGTCACTGTCTGATATGGGCTGGCAGGCCTTTAATTCGCCCTCAAGCCTTAATTTCCGGTCTTGTATTTGACGTTGAAGCTTTGCTAAGCCCTTTTTTAAGATCTTGACAGGCTTCATAATGACAAAGAAGTTGATATTTCAGAGTCCCGGACCATTGTTGTCATTCTGAGATACGGATTACATGATATATTTTCCTATTTTGGTGCTACATCGGCATCATCTGACCCAAGGTATGGGTTATGATTACCTAAAATACCTATGGGTTATGGCCTATGGGTTATGCTCACGAAATCCCCGCAAACCAACTTGGGAAATCCAAAAATGTATGCCCTTTGAGGGAGTATGGGTTATACCTGGTATGCGTTAGGAGGGAGTCGATTGTAATGATAAACTAACAATGTTCAATCAACTTACCTGATCATCTGCTACGATGAACCTCACAAGGTATTCATGCATTGCTTGGTGTGAAAACTCTGGTACAGAATCCTCGAGAGCCTATGGAATACACGGTAGTGAGCCAAGAGGAGTGCTGTCTCCAGGTCCTGGATGAGGTGCAGGAGGAAGGTTTTGAGCTGTGACACTGGGCTGCCTGAGTGCATGAATGAGTGTCTTCAATGTGTAGCCCTTGTGAAGAGCAAGGATGGCAGCATCAACTTGAATCTTCCAGTTGTTCTGCTTGGCCTACACTGCGTATAGCTCAAGGTGGTATTTGCCGATATGGTGGCAGAGGGACATATTTGATGTCAAACATTTATATGTGAAATTTCGATCGAGATCCGGATTCTCTGCTTTTAATTTCCTAGAAGATCATCAGAGATGCCCAAGTATCGGTTGAAGTCAATGTACTTACTTGCAAATCTTGCAAGTGGTACCTTGTTTGGTTTTGTTGAAAAAGTAAGATACATCTGCGGAAGATTTGAGACCTGTTTGAATCTCTGAGCCACATGTGGCCAGTGGATCAGTCCTCGTGATGCTAGTTGCAGTGTTGAGCATACGACCACAGTTGTGATCGTGATTATGGTTGTGTTGCATGTCAAGTTGAGGCTGGGACTGCTGAGTGGTGGGTGCTACTGTAGCATCACCCTCGTCTTCTGAGCCACTAGTGATATTGTTGATGTCGATATACTCAAATTCCTCTGCTGTTGGACTAGAATGACGAAATCTAGCAGGAGGACGCCAAGTCCTCTGGACTCGTACTCAAGGGGAAGCAGCAATGGTGGAGCGTGCAGCAGCACGATGTGCAGGTGGTACAGCAGTAGGGCTAGCACGCTGTCGCCCTCCCATGATGATATTAAGCAGACAGTGCAAGTGAGATGTCACAAGGAGGGGACTTGAATGTGGAACACCTTTAAATTGCTACCGCTGTAGAGAATCATGCCTCTCATGGCGTGATATGGTAGTTTTCACCAAGGAGTATACAGCACGAACTCATAGCATTACTCTGTGCGCTACCCGCAGCTATCTCTATATGAGGCGCAGCTTTCCCACGCAACGCGCGCCATGCGCGCACCATTCCCGCGCTTCACGATGTATACGCGCGCGCGTTCCTGCGCTTCACGATGTATACGCGCGCGCGTTCCCGCGCTTGCGCGCCCTATAGCGCCAGCCATCCAGATGCATCCATCCACTGTCCACCAAGCTCCCTAGTATGTATATTTCCATTTCCTTTATTAGCATAGTTCCACCTTTATTTTTATCATAGTTTCTCACTCATATATATTTTTACATACCTACTCGGTAGCGCTTCGGCTCCGCATGAGCGCGCTTAGGCGCGCTATATAAGCGCTAGCAGTACATACTACACGGAACCTACTTTTCCTACTTTTCACTTACTAGTTACTACCCACTTACTACTTAGCAGAATATAGTAGAAAGCTATTCCTTTACATTTTGCACTCTTATATCTCTTATCTTGCTTTATATCACTACTTAAGCTTAGTTTCTCATTTCCGCATATGTGCGCGCACTTTCCCGCGCTTCGCGCTAATACGCGCGCGCGTTCCCGCGCCTTTGTACCTTGCGCGCTCCTGCGCTTTCTCGCGCTTCGCTTAAGCGCACACTTCTAGATCCTTGCTGCACTCACTTCCCCTATAGGGTCGAACGCACTTGCTTCTCAAGTAATGCAGACTAGGCAGCGCGCGACCTTACAACTTTTACAGATACAGTCAGGAGCTTCTTTTGTTCCTCATTGTATTGTTGTTTCTACACCGCATTGCTGTACACTCTGCTTACTTCTGAATGTTCCTACATAAACCAGCATCAAATTAAGCACTCACCCTACCAAAAAAAGCTCCACCATGGGCCCAGGCCCCAGAGACCAGGGTAGAAACAACATGTGTCATTCATATCGAGTACATGAGAGCACATAGCCATTTGTACACATATTTATACGCAAGTGATCAGAACACAACGTATACAGTGACAAGCGACAACCCTTGAGGGTCCTTCTATGCCGCCTATAACTTTGCCTCATGAATCATGAGTGATGAACCCTTCAAGTTGCGGCCTCGACAACTCACCTTCCTTCATTCAGCATTTGATTAATCATTAGAAGCTCTGACATTGCATCACTTCGAGCTCTGGGACCCATTGACAAGAGATGGCAGTGTAGTCACAGCAATCGGGAGGTTCTTGAAGTGAGTACGGGTTAAAATAGGTGCATCATCACCACCGGCATCAGCACAATCATCCACAGATGAACCTTCACAATCATCTTCCACATAATTGGTCTCATCAAATGGATGTTTTGTGCCTCTGAAGCTATCCTGAAACCAATCAAGATAACACTGGTGCACAGTGAGCTCTGCGGCAGCAATAAATGCCTTGATGCACCTCTTCCAATGGATTGGAAAGATGGGATTGGCTTTCTCGAGCTCAGAGGTAGAGAAAATGCCACGGCACATATTGATGAGGTACTTCTTCATTTGTTGCAGCCCTTCATTCATCCTGGCCTGGACAGCATCCATGTTCATGTCCGGAAATAACGACTAAATCAATAAAATTTATCAAGGTTACATAATGAAATATGCCACGAAAACATACACCAGTCGCCATGCATTCAGCATTGTGATTCTCAAGGTCAATGGGCTCATCTCTGTCTGCTCTAACCCAAACTTGGTACTCAATGAAAGCGATTTTGCACCACATGTGGCCAGCAACTACAACAGGATGAGAAAGCATGTGATCATGTGAACCTTCAATTTTCGTGACGAAGTCATCGAATGAAAGATATTCTGCATCTTTGCGTAAAGTCTCCCAAGCAGGAGAGTGTGGTGCAGGTGAGTGATAGGGATGTTCCTCTTTAATGATAACCATGACAACTAATACAACCTCCAGGTGCGCAGCCACTTCAGATATCAGCTTCTGAAAAAGCTTGTCCTCATCCTGAGAAAAGGTGCATTCTCCAATGAAGGGGATCAGAGCAGTCTGATGAGGACCTTCTGTAGCCGTGAAGGAAATAGACATATCAGGTGTGATGGATGTGAGACCAGATTTAAGTGAGAGATTCATGTGCACTGTGGTAAGAATTATGTCCTGATCGTATGGAAGGCCATAAAAGGCCATGGTGAATGCTTTATTCATTTCATCAAATGGCACTTCGTGCACCGCACTAGGCCATTCCACGATTATGACACCTTTACTTGTAGTTGAGTGGCCAAGAGGGATATAAGTCAATCTGTCACGACATAACATTCAGGAAAGGTCAGACTACCATGAAAGAAAAATATACCTTGGTTTTCCGATGGTAAAAGAAATCTCTGTCTCCTCGATGATGCATGATACTAGGTCAAATGCAACTTTATCGACGTCCTTGAAATCCTGCAAAGAAAAATAAGTGGATCAGTCCTTTGAAGTTCATTCTCTGATTAGTAAAAACATACCATGCAGCGTGTGTCAGGGTTCACCCGGATGACTTTCTGAAGCAATTCCCTGCACAAATCTTCGAACCGATTACTACAAGATACATATTACATAGGCATATATCATTACATACCTGAAGAAGGGTGTCCTAGGTCAGTGTAATGTTGGATGATGTCATTGGTAATGAGGGGATGGTGTGTGCGACACTTCGACTTTCTGACTGCACTTGCTGTGGGAATGGCACAGGTAGTGATTGGAATCGTTGGAGTCGTGGACTTCACTATTAGGGATGCTAGTCCATTAGTTGTAGTTCTAATCTCATTCTTGAGATCAGTTTGTGGTGAGGGCACTTTGCACTGTGATCTCTTTGCCCTCTCCTGGTATGATAAGGTCGGCAAGGTTACAGGTCTGTTATTCGTGACAGTTGTTGCCTCAGGAGCAGAGTGTCGTCTGGTTTCAGTTGTACTGATGAATTTATTAGCACTGTTGTAGAGAGAATCGCTTCCAATGATTGCAGTCATGATGGCTGGGAACAAGGATGAGCGTTTGGAGACTGGACTGTGCCCTGTGCCCTGGCCCCTGGGAACCAAGCTATTTTTGGAGTTCCTTCCTTCGCTATTCAACCTTCAATGCTGGTACTTTTATGCTATTGTACATACTGCCAGTGTCAGTGGTCATGGATGTTATTTGAGTTGATGGTAGATTCAGGTTGGAGGACAAGCTAGGATCAGGCTCATATAGTGTGTGGCAGATTTTTGATGAACATGTTATGGATTCTGATGGACGTCTAGCTGTTGTACACCATGTTCACAACATTATCAATGGTCAAGAGGTTGCTATCAAATTAGAATTATGTAGCACCAGTACTGGTCACATCTCCTCTGTCGAACATGAGTATAATGTCTTGAAGCGACTTGAAGGTGCAGCTGGGTTTCCCTGACCACTTTGGTTTGGTAGAGAGGCACCATATTATGCATTGGTGATCAACAACCTGGGGCCATCACTATACAACATCTTTCTCTCATGTGGTAATAAATTCAGTCTCTGCAGTTTCATCATCTTAGGGGAGCAATTAGTGAGTATTTTCAATTCAAAACACAGTGCTCCACTGGACTGCAGTACATACCACATTGGTTAACCAATTGGTAACAGGTCTCTCATCTGGAGTGTCTGCATTCACGCAACTATATGCATTGCGATATCAAGCCCCAAAATGTGCTGGTAGGAACTAGTGACTCTAAACACACCATATTCATCATCGACTTTGGGATCGCAAAGGAGTATCATGACTTCACTACCTGAGTTCATATCCCACATCGTGACAATTGCCCTCTTGTTGGTACACCTGCGTTTACTTCCATCAATGCCCACCTAGGAGTTGAAGGAGGGCGCTGTGATGACATTGAATCCCTTGCATATATGCTCATCTATTTCTTGCGTGGGTCTCTTCCATTGTTGAGTGATACTCACATTTCAGAGGCCACCATACTCAAGTGGAAGCAGGAATTTCCAGTTGAATCTTTGTGTCATGGTCTACATTGTGAATTCGCAACCATCCTCCTCTATGCGTGTGCCCTCAACTTTTCACAAAAGCCGGACTACGACTACATCCGTTTACTGCTTTGTGGTGTCTATGCAAAGCACGCAATACCAAATGATGGATTGCTTGATTTTAGCAAGTCTATGATCCAAGTCTACAACCCATCATCACATTCACGCCCTCTTACCATTGTAGAGAACATGCATGAGGCGCCAGTGGTCTGCAACCTACGTTCTGCACGTAAATTAAAGGCAACATCAAAAGACTCTAAACATAGCAACATGACCATCATGACACCACAGAGGGAGTAAGTCATAGCTAGCTGTCTTGTAACTCATGAACTTACTATTACTTACCAGGTGGCATCTGCCGAAAGATGCCTGGCAATCTTGTACCCCTCATTGTAAGATGAAGTCATAAAATATAACATATTGGCAGTCAGGGTCTATTTATTTCTAGTTGCAAATTCCTGTATCCAGCTGTATGATAAATTGTTTGAATACAAGTCGACTTTTAGCCGGTGTAGAGACTCGCACGTCTCAATGCCGAGTATCCGGCCTTTGTCCATACATTCCTATATGATCCAGCTCTAATCCAAAGGACCAGTCTCGCATGCACTCGCACGCGCCCTATTTACGCGCGCCTTACCTGCGCTCGCGCTATGCACACTTCGCGCGCGCATTCATGCGCCTCCTCCTAGGTCTTCGCGCTATTGTCCGTCCATTCGTTCCATGTCCTTACTGATTTGCTGGTGCGTTATTCCTATCTCCTTCATTGAACTAACAAATCTTCGGTCCGAAATCCGCGCTACATATAGAAAGTCTATTTAAACTTAGTTATAATTAGAGTTGATATGGTTACTCGGTTCGGGAGCGCGCTCAGAAGCGTGCCGCATAGTGTAATCTCCATTCTTAAATAGAGAAGGGAATCTTTGGGGTTCTGGTACTTACTTTCCCCTTATCTTTGTGTACTGGAAAGTGTATAGATCACCTCCTCACTTGATATCAGATCTGATTCTCCTGTCAACCATCCATCTGTGCATCCACTCTTCAAATAGGGCCTTTCCCTTAACGTTCTAGGCGCGCCTTCGCTTCGTGCGCGCGCATTCTCGGACCTCCCGCTCACGCGCGCATCTCACGTGCCTTTGCCTCGCATACACGCGCATTACCTTCTTGCGCCTGCTAGCGCCCGCCTAGCTCATACAGTCTCCCTCCAATCTTCATTTCGAGGAACTTCTCTCAGTGGTTGTCCTTTGGGTCGAGTCGTTGTCTCATATCCTGGTCTTGAAGTAGAGCACCCATTTGTTTTAAGTGTTTCGCCTATAGTCAAGATTCCTCTTCTACACCGGCTTGAGCCAGATTTAGCTATGAACGGTTACTAACTGGTTTATGTGACTAACCAAGCCGAACCAAGCCACTATTTTGGCTCCCGACGAATGTAGTTAACTGAGCCGGTAGAAGCTGAAGCCAGCTAGCGGTTAGCCGAGCCATGGCAACACTAGCTACAGTGTCTGGAATATGTCTGTGGGACTTGTACTTGTGAGGACTGAATGTCTTGACCTGGATTTGAGCTTCTGTTATGCCCCAAAATCCCACCTTCATAGGCTGGTCATTGAGTGCTGGATTTTTGACTTAGGCTTTTATAGCCAACAACCTTGCAGCTGCTTTGTGCTTGTCTTTGATACTCATTGCAACTTAGAGGCAGGATAATTCACATTAATATTTCAATTTTTTTTGGCCAACAGTAGTATCTTTTTTCATGGGTTAATTTGGCAGTTAGGCACCCATTGCACAAAGTAAGTGGCCTTTAAGTGAAATGCACCATATGTGAGTGAGTGTCACTGTGTGAGTACATGTATTGTACACTGTTTATCATTGTAGTCAACTAACTACTAGTATAAGGATGATGCACCAATTCTGCTAATTAGCAGTAACTAGAAATACATGTGTGTTGGAATATGATATAATTCACATATTGGACATAGTCAGGAAAATCATAATGACCAGATATTCTAGTGGTTAAGAGGTTCCCCTGGAATTGGGAGGGCCTAGTTTTAAATCCTGGTCCTACTATGATTTTGATGTTTAACAGGTTATGAGCCCTGTGATGGCCAAAATAAATTTGATGCTACCTAGCACCAATTCTGCTCTATTCAACATTCTGAAGTTAACTGAGTATGGAAGTGACTAGATGACATATAAGGAATGTACCTTCATGGTCATAGGTGCTCAAGGACTCATGCACTAGCACTTTGTCAATAGCTACATCAGAAAACTTAAGCCTTCCCTTGAAGATCGCAAAGAAGATGATAGGATAACACAGAGGCAGAGACTGGTTAGAAATATGCATGTGTATATCATTAGACTCTACCGTTGATTCATTGGAATCCAACTTCTCCATACATGTGAAAGCCATCACATCCTACACATCAACTTCTCATTTCATCCACACTATTCATCATGGACAGTGAGCTGGACACAATTCCTACTGCATGCTATATATACAACTACATTTGATGATTGCCAAGGACTCATGCTGGCATGCACTGTACTTAACCTGCAGACTAAATCTATTTGCTTATGGCCAATTATATACAGTATTGTCCAGGGTGAGAATGCAAAGAGATACACTGTATTTGTTTGCAGAGATAAATGAAGAGTAGGACTGCATGAATATTGTGTTTCCTCACTTGCTACTGTAAATACAATTTGTTATTGAGAAGAAGACTCCAAGTGTGTCCTTGTTGTAGAGTATAAGAGAAATACGCCTTTTGAAGCAACAGCATCCATGAGATGAAACTATGTATTAAAGCCCAGCATATCCACACCCACTCTATCAGCTCAAGGATATGTTTGAAACTTACAACATCCCTGAGAAATTCTGTTGTGGTGACCACAATAGCTAGTATGCACTTCTGAAGTTTAGATCTAGAGCTGTCCATACTAAGTGAATGTCAAGGTATGAGGATATCTTGATTCTGGAATATCCAGCCCATCTGACCCACATACATGTGTAATGCAAATATCACAATTACAACATACCACATGACTCACAGCCATTGGTCACACTGTCATGTGTGTTGTAGCTGACACTATGACTACTGCTACCAGTATCCCGCTAGCACTTGCAGGTAGAACACTCTTCTGGTATATTGTTGACTCTCAGGAGGCTTTTTAGAATGGGCTGAGGCTCAAGGGATGCATCAGAGAAACATAATCCACTACAAAGTGCTATAGAGCACTCTATAGTGTTCTATAGCATAATCCAACCTACTGGTGTGAGGTGGAGGACCCATTGTAGTATTCATTCAATTATGTACACTTAGGAGGTCTAAAAATGCAAAATATCTTATATTTAATGACATCAAATGGTACAGTGAAAGAATGAGGAAAAAAATGTGTGAAAATGTTAAAATAATTGAACTCACTGTGTGCAACAGCAAGCACAGAGGTTTCAGCAATGCATGCTTACCTATTTTGGTTATCATTTACAGGTCACTCCCAGGGAAAACTGGACATAGCCAAAATGATTGAGATCAAGCAAAATATAATGAATTTAGGAGCACCATATTTCATTATAGGAGACTCACTGTGGAGGTACATAGAATATTTTGCATCTGCTGCAATCTTCTTGAATGTTGTAGGATATATTAAGAATATTGATATCATATTTCAGCATATTTCAATTGGATTCCACTGGTATGACAAAATCAGTTGCATTTGGGTGAAATATGCTATAATCTAATACTGATATAAACACTTCGACCTGCAATCAAAAGACATAACATGGGATGATAGTGACAGCAATGCAAAACATGATAGCAGGGAAGCAATACAACAGTAAGCACAAAGGAGCAACAAGAATGGCAAGTAAGGGGTATGCAAGACAAGAGGATCTAATATCCAATGACAAAACAACATAATGAGCAATAATGAGATGGCAAGGAAAGTGGCAGTACAGAATGAGGGGAAGCTAGTGTCATAGATAATGTCACTGTTCTTCATTGACAGCCCTTCTTGTTCCTATACATTTATTAAACTAGACAACATAAAGAAGAATTCCACTTACTGAGCATACAATCTTTGTTATGATACATGCAGTGATAACATACCTAAATTGAAGATTCATACAATCTGCTGAGGAAGTTGGCAACAGTAGGAGGATGGTGGCTTAGTGGGAAGATGATGGTTATGAAAAGAAGTAGGAAAATAGGGCTGCCCCAACAAATTATAACTTTGGAGTCAATGATGTCACAAACTTTGCACAAACAAAAGAGTACTAGCTGCTGTGTGATGCAGCACAATGTGAAGTAGTCGATGAATTGCATAGCAGAAGTGCATGTGAGTGCTCAACAAAAGTGTGATTGACAACACAATGCATCAAATCGACAATAATGTAATGTAATGTTTTATGATGTGATGTGTAGACAATCATGTTGTTGAAGATTACACAATATTATAGCATTCTAATATATATAAGCACGGAGTGTTTGATCCCGCGGAACCAATTCGTGTCTACCCCACGTGCGCGCTCCATCTGAGCGCCACCCGCTTTCCAATTGCTCGATCTCTGTGTCTCCTATGGTCTCCTTTTGAATCCCAGCTGCACTGATCTCTCTCCTAACAGATCTTGCTGTCTCTGTTTTCATTTTTGGTGGGACAAGCATGCCGCACTGAACTCTGTTCCGGTGCGATGTTACCGAGATATTCATGGGCTGTTTTCAACAGATACTGAAGATGAAAAGTGCACTTTCGAGCGCGGAATGTTGTCAAGACTTTCGTGCGCTGTTTCCAACAGACTCTGAGGATGAGAAGACCACACGTGTTTGTGCGCTATTTGCAGAGACTGAGGATGAAAAGATGACAGCAAACATAGTGTATAAGCATCTGTTACTATGATTGAGGTTAAACTATGTCCGAAGGCGATCGGAGCGCTTGTAATTTATATGTTTAAACAATATTCCACTTGATCTCAACCATTTTGGCCATGTCCAGTTTCCCTGGGGGTCACTGTCGTATCAGGTATGTAGGAACTACACATGATGCTAAGTCAGCCATGGGTCAGATGTCTCAGATGTCCCAGGATCAAAATATTCTGCAAGGTGTAATAAAGTCCACCCACGTGAGTAACCAAGGGCATGGTAAGAGGAAAAAGACTATTGAGCAAGCAACGGATTTCTGCCCTATCATGCTTACTACTTGGCTAAGACTGATCAATATGGACGGTCTACGAGTCGCACAACATCATGCATTGACAGTAGAATCATACAAGGTCAGCAGTCATTTTCCAACGCAAAACGAACTGAATATTCCGCCCAGGACTTCCTCAACACCGACATCTAGTCCAGAAACAGAACCAATCGCACGAGCTGCATAACGTAGGGATTCTGCGGCGATGTCTACTTCCGAAGGAGCTGTGAAGTCGAGCAGAGTTGGTAGGATGCATCAGTGAAGCATGATAAATGTGCTTACAGAAGGCGATGAACTCTTCCAAGTGCATGACAGCTCGCTCAAGCATATCTCTATGGCGAGCATGCGTGATGAGCGGGCTGGTGTAATCGAAACCATCGCTGTATCTATCAAGGAAAGTCAGGATGTCCATCCAGCCAGTAGATATCTGACCTGTGTAAAGTACCTTGATCGTAAAACCTGTGCGAGACCATCTAGAAACGACTGGGTACCCTCTGATGTGCGAAGACTCGCTGTCCAGAACTGGGTCGTTTGCTGTTATTATAGTTATTGTCATGATCCGTGAAAGTGAGAGACTGGTTGAGAGGAAGGCTCTCGATAGTATCAGATTTATTCAACAAGAAAAGGGTATCTGGTTTCAAGTGGTTCTTGACCTCATCCGGGATTCGAACCAGGGCATTGTCTCGAGAGGATAAAACATCAGGAAGAGATAGAACACAAAGAGACAGATCAGCCTCCTTGACGCTGAGCGAACCATTAACAAAAGGGTATAGTGTATTATGACTTGCACATACGCGTTACCTGCACGACCCACCCCTACCTGCTCTACAGTGTCCAATGTTTCTCGCAGGCCAGCAGTGTCGCTCAGAACGACTGGAAAACCTCCAATGTCCAAGGTGAGCGTGAGCACATCTCGCGTAGTTCCTGGAATGGGTGATGTAATAGCCGCATCACGCTGAGCTACAATCGAGTATTTGAATTAAGGTCTCAAAAAGCGCGACTTTAAGGACGTGCCAAGGAAATTAAACAAGCTACTCTTGCCAGCATTCGGAGGTCCAAATATCGCAAGTTTTATTCCAGAGCGCAGAATCTCCCCACGACGGTTGTCATGCAGGTGAGATCGAATGCTGTTGATGATATTCAATGCACGATTATGAGCTAATATACTTGAGATGAAATTGCAAATGAGCCTGTAGAGGACTTGCCTTCTCTAATCATCGCTTCCTGTCCAAGTTCGTCCACGTCCTCGCCAAAATCGATAAAACCTTCAACAAAAACTAAACATTCCAGTATCTGTGACCTTAGTGCAGCATATCGCGCTCTCGCGGCCCCCTAGGAACATCTGGAGTAAGTTGCAAGTCCTAAAATCAGTAATAATTCCTACCTCAGCTCCGCTGACAGCAACCCTTCTTTGAGCTTCTGTTTCAGCATCTATCAAGTCGCGCAGACCCTCGACTTGGGTGAGATCAAGTCGGCCACCCTCGAAGGCACGTCTCGTAAATTCGCCTGGCACAGCGGGCCGACAGTATGGTAGTTTAGCAAGTGCACGTAACACTGCAGAGAGTACTGCGCGCCCAGAGTGGATGTGAAGCTCAAGAGTGTCTTCTGTGGTAAATGATTTTGGACCTAATGCACATAACCAAATATCCCGCGACCTGTAGCAAATAATCAGAACTCACTCTTGAAGAAGACAGTCAAGCTGTCATCGAGTCTCTCTTCGGTCTCTGGGTCGACGACGTGTCTGCGCTGGAACATCCATGGTGTCGGTACGGCTCCAGACTTATTTCTGCGCGTCACTCGTTGCCAGACCTCAAGGGCGTCGGGTCCAGAAATCCGAATGACAGCTATACCTGCTTTCCCAGGTGGAGTGGAAAGTGCGTATATAGTTCTACGCTGCGCATCAGAGAGCGTAGCCTCAGACTTGGCGCAGAGTGTTGTATGAGCATGACTGGCATACCCAGTAGCATCAAGCTGTGATGATGACCTGTTGAGGCGGTGTAATCTGCAATTCCAGCGGAAACTTCTATGTAGAACGACCGATGCAAGGGTGAAGTTATTTTCCCGAAATTGAACCTGTCTCCGTTGTATCCGTAGATCCTTCACAGCTTTCTGAATGATACTGGCTCGCCATTGTCGCAACATTCACTGCCCTCGAATTCCAGCTCGCCGTTAGTCGCGACCAGTACTACTGGTAGGATGACAGAAGGCGTACAAAGAGTTGTCGTAATTTCTCACGACTACATATTAATACAGCTTGCCCTTACCTCTCATCGCCGAGCACAAGATCTAACCGAACCGACTTATCCCATCCTTGCTATACAATCACATAGATTGCCCAGTTTAATTAGGAGCCATGGGTCAAACACGTTTGTTTATCAGATTTCCCATGACGCATTCATCTTCCACTCACCTCACGATGAACAGCGTCACAGTTCATGGAGGACATGCAGAAGCGGTCCAACTGTGCGTTCTGTGTTCCAAACCACTTCTGCTCTGCGATACTCATTTGACTGTGCTGCACAGTCACATCTGCTGAGCTGGAAAGATTGAAGAAACGCTTCATGAAGCTAGACAGGTCTATATCACTTCTCTAATTGACTATCATTACCATCGATCTCATAATGCATATTGCATATACAGTGATGGCTCAGGCTCCATAGATCGCGAAGAATTTCTGCAAATACCACAGATAGCTACCAACCCATTAGCCTCAAGGATGATCGCAATCTTTGACGAAGAGTGCGTCCACGAATTTCCGTGGCCGACTCATGATTTAATTCTTACGCAGTGGAGGAGGAACCGTGGATTTCCAAGAATTTGTGGGTGGATTGAGCGCATTCAGCAGTCGAGGAGGGCGAGAAGAGAAGCTACGATGTGCGTCTTCCATTTTGGTTCATCAGCCTGGCCTCACGTCATGATATCAAGTCGCTTTCAAAGTTTATGATGTGGATCGAGATGGTTTCATCTCGAATGGAGAGCTGTTTCTGGTATTGAAAATGATGGTTGGGAACAATCTTAAGGTCTGTCTGCGCTTACCCGACGATTTTGGAACTCGTTGTAATCATTCTTTGAAACAGGACCAACAACTGCAGCAGATAGTTGACAAGACGATCATGGAAGGCGATCTAGATCGTGACGGAAAACTTAGCTTCGAAGAGTTTGCCCAGATGGTGTCAAACACGGTTGGGGACATTTCTCTCACTTCACTGCCGATGCTCAGTCTTTTTACCTTAGGATATTGTCAAGCAGATGACGCTTGAAGACCTTTTCTGACAGCTTCAGCGTCGACGGACATTCACGCCCCCTCATACCCCCGCTGTGTCCGTCACTGGTCGTCTGTTGCATAATTATCCATTTCCCATATAGTGGCAACTTACATGTAGTATCGCCTTTGTTGTAGAGTATAGTCTCGGTCTCAGATCACCCTAACACAAATCACGGTACGTGAAAGCCGCTGGGATCCCAGGAAAGAGCACCTACTGTATGTCACTCATCAACAGAACTCGAATGACCACCTGAATAAACCACCTGAATCAAATTACAAGCGTGAATGCAAAACCCGTAAATCAGGTCTTTACTATTCAGTTTCAGGGTTTCGTCTATACCCTGGAATTTTTTGATTAGCCGATCAGGCGAGCTGCTGGTAATGCCAAGCACTCACTGGACAAACCAGGTCTGAATCAGGAGGGACGCAATTGCCTCCATGAACATTCTGTGTGAAATGGTAGCTCAATGCGGCACATTCAACGACGTTAGCCTACATGTTTGAGTCAGACACTAAAATCGAGCACGACTCACGAGGGAAGTCTTACCCAGTTGGTTCTGCAGTACGCCTCGGCGTAGCTGGCCTGGTTCATGAAGAACGTCTGGTAAACTGAATAGTAGCAGATCCAATCTACGAAGTTCAAAGTATCAGTGTAGATCCTCAAGAGACCACGTTTATTGAACGTACTGTGGTACTAAAAAGTGCTCTTGAACATCCGATGCCATTAGTAGAGGATCGAAAGAGAGATAAACCAACATTATTACCGATATTCTGACTATCATAAACCAGACCATTTGAGATGACTTGGTATCATAACGGGTTGGACCACCACCGGAGGGGGTAAAGTAGTCGGTAGTACCTTGAATGGGATGGAATAAGCTTGAAAAAGTCCAGAAGACAAGAGCATCGTGTACACACAAGTATCGATATCAGGGCAGACATTCAATGTCTGACGCGGACGCATTATGATGAAAGTTTGAATTTCGAATATGAAATTCGTTGTCCATAAGTAATCAGCGCTTGGCCGCTGCCAAGATCACGCGTTTCTCAGTGATAGTTGAGCAAGCTAGTGTGTCGACCTGAACGTCAGCTGAGCTCTTCCTAATGAAATGATGGCTTTGTTCTCGTACGTAGTAAATGTCAGGCGAATCAACATCTGATTGCAATCGTTTTGATCGGTTGCTCACAGGAAGCTTCATCTGCGACGGCACCAAACATGGCAGCAGAGGAAGAGCTGCATGTCACAGAGCTCGAAACCAAGAAGTTCAAAGAAGCTAGCAACGTGACCGAGGGGTTCGTAAGTATTTGTTGTCCAGCGTCAGTCATTTTCAAATTCTCAGTGCGAGGGTCGGAAACATTCCAGCCTTGCTACTTCCCAGGCTGCACGTCTGACCGAAAAACGTTGCAGCACCTAATGAAAATCCTCTCGGATCTTGGCCACCAAGTCCCACCTAAAACCATTGTGTCTGCCGTTGATCACGGCGGCCAGCGCTGGTCCATGTGACTAGTTCAGGGCTTCATCTAAAATTTTTAATGAAGGAACTCACTAGTTATTACCCCCTCATAGAAACTGAGAGACGCCTTGCCTACTAGTCCACCGCAACGAGTTAGCTCGGCTGAAAATTGTGCATTAAATTAGTGTCAATGAGCAGATAATGATCCGGAGCAAATTATATTGGGCTGGACCAGAAATAGAACCTAAAAACGCCTTAGATCCCTAGCACCGCAATGCAGGCAGTTGGCCCAACATAGCAAAGCCTGAGGAGGTTGCCAGTCGTGACAACCTCTGGATGTTTGAAATCGGCGAAGCTGACAATGTTTTCACGATCCAGATGAAGACAAAGAATGAACTCACAACAACACACAGCACCCGTGTTATTTACATCAACAAAAACCCGCGTAAACAGAGAGATATCATACAAGTTGAATTTATGCTGGGTTATACAAATACAACACGCCATCTTTTACTCTTCGTCTGGCATTCTCGATGAATCCGCGCTGGTTCGGAGGTTTACAAGCTCAATCACCAATGAGGAGTGCACAGGCTCAGACCCGGGCCTTGCAAAGCGCCCTCTCATGTTGAGTAGAAGACGGTTGCAGAGCAAGGATGGTAAAGCAATAGACCAACTGTCAATTTGTTTTAGAAATGTCACACAGAGGGAGACAGAGACCCACGGCATGAAGAGGTCGATATAGGAGGGATACCGAGCCCAGACAATAGTTGATCCCATTAGTTCTATGAAGATTCTGTAGATGGCAAATGCTAAGTACGCCGTAACAACCACGTAGAGGCTGACAGACATACACGAAAAAGTATAATAAACTTGAGTAGTCGTTAGCATATCTCATCAAAGATAACAACAACCAACCTATCACGAGCCAGAAACGTTGCAAGTTCACTGCGTTGCTGTCGGTCCAGAAAAACTTTCTTTAGGACAAGTATGCAAATGATAGGTTCAAGGATCAGCGCTGGCGTCCAAAAGATTGCAGAGAGTGGAGCAAGACCATCAAAGAGACAGCCCGCAGGAGTAGAAACTACTGGAAATCCTGTAAGCGGTTCATTCAGTCGATTCTACAATGAAAAGCCAGACTCACTTTCCACGCGAGCGATCGTCAGGCCAATGAGGAGCGCCATCGCTGCGAGCTCGATTATACTCAGGACAACCATCCAAGAGAGTACCCTGCGACTTCGATTATAAATTGCCCACACCTTGAAGGATGTTAGTTATCGACTTTTCGTAGGAAACCGCTGTACTCCCTCTAAGCTGCAGTATTGCTGATACAAACAAAGGTTCAATGGTGATGGTGAGGCATGGGGTGTATACTTACTTTGAACGGAAATAGTCATAAGGAGTGCACTGTCGAATCATGAGTAAGACATCGAGAGGAAGTGACCCGCGACTTACATGGTATTGTTGCATATCAGGTAGGTGACGCAACTAGACCAGAGGAGGAAGTCAACCTTATGGATGTCTTAGTAACACGAACATACGTCTTGATGAATGGTTAGCGTAAGACGGTGGAAGGGTGTATGAAGAGAATTACTTTGGATGATATCGCATTATACGGGTTTTGTTGTACTTTGAGCACTAGTCAACAGAATTAGGAGTGATCAATAGTTCCTACTCACTCATGTCGAATGTGAGCCATACCGCTGGAAGCCAGCGGTTCTCGAGAGCGCATTAGCATAATACACATTCTTCTCTATCATACAAACTCACAAAATGATAGAGACATGTCACCCAACTCTTCTTCTTCAGCCATATCAGATCAATCTGCCAAACCGAGCCTTAATAGCTGCAATCGCTGGAACCAGATTGACGGTTTACCTCGTCCTCGATAGTGATGACTACCAGAAATGAGAGTCAGCGAGTAAAATACATCGAAAAAACTCCTTACTGTGTTCATAAATGAGAAGTCCCAGCGCTGCAGCTCGTGATTGCTTCCCAATGTTCACTGATCGACATATGTTCATCAGTAAACAGCTCAAGGAACGAGTCGCAATCACCAACAAGCTCGCCTAGCAGACAGAGAAATCAGAGTCGTGTCCAACATGAATTAAACAGCTGGAGATATCGGTAGGATGACATATGAAGCAGAGCCGGCTTTAAGACTCGGTACGCGAAAAACAAAGGCTGAGCTCAGCCGCGAGGCAAACGTATGTGGTCACTGCTTGGTCGCAGCCCCAATCCGGTTGGATGCCATGTAGTATGGATAAAACGGACCCGATTACGTAGCGGGTTCTGGAGTTCTCGCTCCAAAAAGTTCAAAATTGCCGGCAGGAAAATCATGAAGCTTGACTAATACTGTTCGTGCCGAGTCCTTGAGGCAGGTCACCGGCAACTCGGGACAATGCTTTCAACCAAGCTCAACATACCGAGCGTAACTGCATTGTGAGCGGAGAAGTGTACGCCGGGAACCTTGATAACATTTGCCGTGCAAGTTTTAGAAGCTTGCAGCGACCGATCGAAAAATTGATTGGCTGTTGGCACATGCTTCCAGGACCCTGACCAGGCACACGGCACATGATGTAAGCAAATGCTGCCATCTCAGTGTGAAAAATAGTCGCATAAATTTTTTCAGAGGGCAGATACGACTCGGAGCAATGAGCGCATACATATGTGCCGTTGATAATCGTTATTGCCGTTTTCCGTAATCGGATAAGGGTTGATTGACACTGCTTCAATGACATCCAAGTTCCCGTACTGCCACTAGTTCATGTTCACGATTGCCGCTTTACTTTTTTACCTTCCTAGTAAGGTAGTTCATAATGAGCAAACGTGGAGAGGTCATTGATAGAAACATTCTTACTGGCTCACTCTCGCTGATATCCATCTCGTCATCACGTTCCCTTTTCAAGATAGCGGAGTCCATATCCATCGCACCTTCATCGAACCCCGAAGACTGTCTGGGAATAGGGCAACGCCATGTACTTATCTTTGAATCCTCGCCTCCCGTGACGAGAATTTCATGCTGTTACAGGTGAGCATTAGATATCACCGCACCAAGAAAACGTACGTTTTCATCCCAGAGGACTGAACGGACCACTCCAGTGTGACCCTTGGCCCATACCGAATTTATTGCCCATGGCACAGATGAGTCTGTCACATCTGAACTCGAGAGAAGGGCCACATCACCCCTGTGCAGAGGTGTTAAATTGCGAATTACGGTCACGATGTCACATACTCGTTCGAGCCAACAAATACAGCGAGGTTACTGTCAGATCGTTTTGTATTGTGACATGTTATCAAATAATCGGTAACCCAGGTTCGCCCATGGCTATGAACGGAGGGGCGGCGAATGTCACAGTTCTGCAACATGTCAAGCTTTGCGCGGCATCATGAGGAATAAGTATATTGACGGGTGATTGTAATGTACCTCATTTGACCAGCAGCTGAATGTTTCCATATCACTTGCAGCCCAGACACGATTGGTGGACGGGTTGCGGATCCATCCTGCTTGAGAGATGCTACAGCCCCAACTGCCAACGTTTAGAACTGCTTCATCCTCATCATCTTCCGCAGAATTTGATGTGCTAACCAAGCCATCGGTGGAAGCTGATAGTAAGATCTGTCCAGATGTTGGAGACGGGCAATTTTTTAGAAAGTGCACTGCAGTGATGTCGTCCGAATGTGTTGAGCCGTGAATATGAAGTGGTATAGCTGGTTTCCGAGGATCCCTTTGATCTCGTATTGAAGTTCACAGCCTTATAAAGAATGGTAGGACCTACCAATAGAGTATAAATGCGTCCTCCTTCTGTAGGCCCGTTCCCGCAGCAACAGTCAAGCCATCATGAGAAGCATCACAAGACAAAACGGTACTAGATCTCCCAGATGCTGTCACTAGTTACCAATAATACTCTTGAGTTGTCAAACACGAAGGTCCAGTCGTAAAGTATGAAAAACATACTTTGTATGGCCGGAGCGCCAGAACGTTCATCCCAAGCAATCACACACCCATCCTTACCAGCAGATAGAAGTGTATGCCGCTCGGATCCCCCGATGCTTCTGACGGTTCGCAAGGCTGTGGTAGCGTTTTGATGGCCTTTAAGTGTCTGGACGCATTTCAAGAATGACTTGTCAAAAAGATGAATTGCATTTGACGGAGCAGAAGCAGCAGAAACATAGTAATTTCCCAACGATGTTAGTGCAAGAACATAGCTTCCACCAGGGTGAGTGGTGGACTTTATTTCTGAAGAGATTGTCTCGAATGAAGGAGACTCGAGTAGCGACATGACTGCACTTTTGCAAGCCCTTAGACAGATGCAGACCACGTGTAAATCAAGATCACGTCAGCAGATTATCTAGCCTTACTACGTACGAACTTTCCCTCGTCATCGTCATAGCTTTATTTCTTTACCACCACTTGCAATTGCAAGCGTCTAGATCCTGTTCCACCGCAGCTGTTTTTCTTTTCGACTAAAACACCCACGCTCTTTTCAACCTACAGTCCTTTCGTCGTTTCCCTCTAAAGATTCTCAAACCTTGAGAATCTATTCGCATAGACCAAGAACAAGCATTTTACTTCATTGCTATCTAGTCTACTCCCACTTTCAACATGACTCGTCGGGGTGAGTATTTAAACGCCTGAATCTCGCGTGCGAAGACCCAATGCATCATACAGCTCCTCGTATCCACCGTCTCCCACAGCGCCTTGACTACAACCTGATTCCTGCGCCTCTGGGTACGTGTGAATTCATAACTCGAGTCGTAACACTAATCAGATTCTTGCAGATCTATCTCTTCCGCTGGCTACGGAAAAGTCTTCTTTGCCAGCCATTATCATTACCCCATCATCTCCAGCAGCCGACGCACCCGAGTACTACATAGCGTTCTTAAAACCGCCTCCTAAGCCTACGTTTCGTGAACGCATATCCGAGTATTCCCCTTTCCAGCCACATTTACCCCTGAAGGCCCGGAGCGCTATCATCGTCTCCCTCATTCTCTTCATTCTGGTCTGCCACCTTCTGGTGCACCTTGCTGTCCGCCGCCCACACTTCGATTTCATCGCATCCTCTGATAATATCTCGTCACTCAAAGCGAATTATCATCAGGCCCAAAATTCGTTCTTGGACTCATTTGCTTTATATCTCAAAATTTTCTGGAGTGGACCAGTGGCTGGAGATGCGCGAAATTTCATAATCGAAGATTTTTCACAGCCAGCCTATCGGTAAATGTGGCAGGTTCGCCCATTTTTCAGTATATAAACTTGATACAAAGTCTGTGCAATCTTTCCATGCATTCACTGACAGTCATATATCAAAGTCATCTTTGACCGAACTGACTTGTTTACAGTCTCATTACATTCCTTTCGTTTATATTTATCTGGCTGTGGAAGTCGAAATGTTTAGCTAAAGTTCTCCCGTGTATCGTGATAACTGCACAGGAAACTCTTTGTTTTGTATTTAGTACCTGAACCATTCTACACAGCGACGTCAGGTCTGTGATATCCTGATTATACGCTCTCTAGGTTCGATACCTGTCCAGTTGGATCCCATGTATCGGCAACCAATACACTACCTTCAAACAATTTATCGACACTTCGATACTCTTCGCGGTTTCTCGCAGTGCATCTCCTTCAAGTTGAGGCCCTTCATGGTGATGCAACACCATAGCAGTCGTACATCTCTCTGGAACGCGGATAACGTTCACTGGGCCAATTTGCAAATACGCTTCGAATCAAAGTTCATGTGGAGTTTCTGTTGTAATTATTGTGCCTTACTCATGCTCGCTTCGTGTTTAGTGTGTTACAGCTGTCGTCCTATTGAGTACGACAGTGTTGCTGACACCAAGCATAATCCACTCGTTCCTTCGGCTAGTCCACGATATTCCTTTTTTTCCTCAGTCTCGCTATTCGGGCAGGACAGGATTGAACATGTCTCAGCTAGAAGCCATGGCTAGATCCATATCTGACTCGGAGTGTTGCTCATTATCGTCCTCGGGGACCATCTTGGGGAATATCGACCCCCTTCCTCGTCGCGATGCTCTAGATCAACCTGTCATGACCATTGCACCCACTTTGTTTTCTGGTCATGTGCTTTTTGACAAACTTGTTTAACTCCCCCTTTGAACTTTCCACCCATGATCCCATCAATTACGTCATGGTGATTTCATTGCCATCTCCGTTGGGTGTACCTGTAATTCCAACGTCATTTTTGTTGTCTTCATTTGCGACCAGCAGCTGCACCATATCACGCGTCGTGGCCGTACGAGAAGGTGATTTTGATAAGAATAAAGATAAATCTCATCAGACTACATCTTCTGATGATACCGCATCTTCAGTTTCTTCCGCAACCCGTGCCACTGACTCTAAACGTGGTGGGCAAGACAAGACAACAGTCAAGACCGAAAACAGCGGAACACCACCTGGATATACATCAATCATAGCTGCGCGGGACATGTGCTCAGACAACAACCGTCACGTCATATTATACGTCAAGTCAGTACGGTAGGATGCCGCCAGTCTTACAGTAGCAATTGCGAGGTATGCTCCAAAAGCCAGGATCGATATGCAATTGATGTTTGAGCTTCATTTAGCTGCACTATCACTTTGTTTCATCATCGTCATAGGACCACAACAACTCGTTTTGCAAACTTCGGCAGTGATAGTGACCATCACCTCCGAATGGACCCCCGGGTTACACACCTATCAACAATGATACTGAGAAGCACTAGTCCTGAGAGTGTTCAACCATTGCTCACTGGAACTGTCGCGTCTGTTCCGTCTCCACAAGTCCAAGTGAGCATTTGCGCACATCTGGAAGGGTATTTGATTAGCGATCAAGATGCCGCTCTCAAGGGGACAGTTCGAAGCCCATGAGCGAGGTACTGTCAGACTCTTTTGCACATGGGTCTTTCGCAGTTTCTTCACGGTTCGTAAACCTGCACCGAACAACCACTTTGCAGTATTCAGCATAAGCCTCAGTACATTGCACACGGGCGATAACTTGGAGTCGAATGCTTGGATGTCGATACACTCGTCGTACTTTTCTCCGACCGGTCATTTTCACGAGAGATACCCCACCTAACACGTCGGCAAAAGACACGACAGAAAAGTCATCACTGGTCTTTCACACTGATATTGGGCGTTTGAGAGCTCTGTTGGATGATGTATGTAGTACTTCGATAGGGACAGTCGAAAATTATCGATAAACTCTCAATGCTATGGTCCATTCGGTTGTAAATACGTTTGTTCAACTTGATTGTGTGTAGACTAGCTAGTAGCAGCAGCCATAATCTTCAGCACCGGACATTGGCGTGGGAATACGTGCAGTACTTATAGGAAGGACGCCACTTTTGGGTCACTCTGTTATATACATACCTCAAAAAGCTAGTGCTGGTTCTTGCTTGGTTGTCCTTGGTCGTCATTCCAGCTTGTGACCTGCTAGTCATGGATGCGTTATTTGTCCCTCTCGCATCTGCCATCGGTGCATCCGTGGACCAGATCAAGGTTGGGAGCAATCTTGTGACACATATACTAGTGGCTAAAAAAATTGCCAGCTCATCTCATGTCTACTAATAGCATGCCCCCTAGGAAGTCTCTTCATCCGTATACCAGCATCTCAGCCCAATCTCAAGCATCTCTTCAATCTACTCGTCTCGGTTTTCTTTTTCATACCAGTTTTAAACCTGTCATGGGGCTTTGTTCAGCTATTAGGGAGTGTTCTTGGAACATATTACATTGCGGCTAATGTAAAAGGCTCCAATATGCCGTGGATAGTTTTCGCGTATGTTTACCCTCTTGACTCTGGAAATACCTGCTCACTAGGCTTTCTGCAGTTTCGTCATGGGTCATCTCACAGTCAAGTAAGGGATATACGAGTAAGACGCGTTTGCACGGGAGGCTGATATATTCCCATTCCAAGCCACGTCATACGAGCATTTTACAACCTAAGCTATGAAACCTTCGAGGTTACAGGGCCTCAAATGGTGCTGACTATGAAACTCACGACTTTTGCATGGAATGTCTGGGATGGTAGAACGGCCCCTGAAGTAAGCCCCTCCTGCACGCTAAAAATCTCTTAAAATTTAGTTGCACAAATTAAGAATCTAGACAAATGGCAATTACAGAAGCGCGTCACGAAATATCCCACACTACTCGAGTTTCTTGGTTATTCGTGAGTCTTGTTTGATGTGTTTTGTCTCCGGTTGACGGATTTTTGCGTAGCTTTTATTTCCCGGGTGTTCTAGTCGGGCCATATCTTGACTACGCGTCATACATCTCCTTGATCGATGAATCACTCTTCGAAGGCAAGCGCAGTCCTAGTTCAACAAGGTCCATTCCGGACGGCAGAAAGCGAGTCGCATATCGCAAGATGTTAACTGGTTTGGTCTTCTTGGGAATCTTTGTGGTTCTGAGTCCCTCATTCTACTACGCCATCGTAATCACCCCGTGGTTTATGACCCAAGGATTTCTCTATAGGTCCGTCTTAATACGTTCGATCGAATACTTTTCTGACGTTTTTGGATGCAGAATGGTATATTTCCAGCTTTCTGGTTTCATCGAGCGGTCTAAGTACTATGCGATCTGGACGCTCACAGAGGTGTGGTTCGTGTCCTGTCGTAGACGCGATGCTAACACAGGCGACTAGGGTGCAAGTATTCTGACAGGTTTGGGGTTTACTGGGTATGGCCCTTCAGGCGAATCCACATGGGAAGGTGCCGCCAACGTCAAAGTCCTCGAGATTGAGCTTCCTTCGAACTTCAAGGTTTTGCTTGATTCATGGAACATCAACACGAACATCTGGCTCAGGGAATGTATATACAAACGTGTAACCCCCAAAGGGAAGAAGCCTGGCTTCCGCAGCAGCATGTTGACTTTTGCGACGAGCGCCTTCTGGGTAGGTGCTTAGTTATGTTATGCATGAGTTGTGCTGATTTTGTTGTAGCATGGCATTGCAACAGGCTACTACCTGACTTTCTTCTTCGGTGGATTCATCACTACCGCAGGCCGTCTTTGCCGTGCCAACCTACGTCCGTTCGTCCTCCCTCCTCCAGGAGCACCCACAACAATCACGAAACGCATTTACGATTTGACCGGAACTTTCGTCAGCATCCTTATTCTCAACTACGTGGCAGCGCCGTTTATGCTGCTAAACTTTACTGATTCTATCGAGGCTTGGCGTCGGCTCCATTGGTACGGCTTTTGGATGATTGGCTCGACACTCGCTTTCTTCTGGCTTGGTGGCTCCACGTTCTTGAAGGCTCTACAGAAGAAGGGAGGAAAAGTCGCTGAGAAGGTCGCGACGCAGGAATCTCATGTCATGCCACCACCTCTAGAGGATATGGCAGAGGAGCTGAAAGAATTGCAGCACAGGATGAAAGAGTAGGCCGAGCTTGGATACTTATCTAGACGGGCTCCAACAATTGATACCTATGTTCAATCAAGACTTTGCATACCGTCTCGAACTTCTAGATCATATTGCAAGCCCTAAATATAGCATTTTCAAGTAAGGCATTCCCAGTAGAGACGCGCGCTCGAACATAAGCAATGCATAGGGTGGAGGCATACAGGGCTCAAAAGATGGAGAAATGATGGTTTGTAGTATACCCATAATGCATATGTGACCGCACAGAGATTGCGACGCCTTCCATGCTGCCACCAATGAATATTTTGTGAGCTTCTTATACTTTGAAGCCACGAGACTTTCGGCGACCACGGGCCCGCTCGAACTGAAGAAAATGTGTTAGATATAAACACCTTTAGAGTAATGATTGGCACGTACTTTGCGACCCTTGGAGATAGTGTAAGGCTTCTTGTTCTTGTGGGGACCCATGCCAAAGTGCTTGACAGCCTCACGAGTGTTCCTCTTTCCCCGGAGCAACACAGTGTTGGACCCTGTTGGTGCGCGAAGTGCGAGCTGATCCAGCGTCAATGCCTCACCACCAGCATTGAGAATGCGCTCCTTTGCTGCGCGCGTGAAGCGTAGAGCAGCAACTGAAAGTTTGGGCACCTCGACGAGACGAACGTCATCGGTTACAGTGCCAACGACCACGATAACTTTTGAGTCACGATCAGGAGTGGCAGCGGTTTCTTTAACAATTCTTGACAAAGAGAGGGGAGGACGGTTGATTTTGGAGAGGAAGAGGCGGTGGAGGATAGCCTGAGTGAAAAATCATGCTTCAGTCAAACGGCCTGAACCACGCGTAAATTTATTCAACCTTGTTGAAATCCGAGTCTGTGCGGCGGGCCAAAAATCTGTAGAGCTGAAGAGTATTTAGATTGAGCCTTTGCACATACTAAACATACATACTTTGACGAGCAAAAGGAGGTAAGGATCCTCGCTTTTGGGGGCCGTCCGCTGGGCCTTCTTGACGTGGTGTTTCTTGATGTCGATACCCTAGCAAAATGCACATTTCAGTAAAATATCCAGGTGCTATTTGGGACCACGAGCTCACCATCTTGATCTTGCCGATTTGTACTGTTCGGGGACGGTGTACAGACAACAACGGAGGCTTGAGGAACTGTGCAGGACAAGCAGATAAGGTTTGATTTTCGGCATTTCGCGGAAGATGAAATTGAATATTTGCATCTGAGACAAACAACAAACAAACAACGCCAAATTTTTCTTCAACTTCAACTGCCATGGTGTGTCGCATTTTCGGCGCCCAAGCCAACTTTTTCTAACTTTTTTTGTTTTCCTGTAGGATCAATACGGAGAACCAACTGCTCCTTCAGTGGACCCTTACTCAGATGCCTACAATGCACCTGCACCCACTGCTACATCAGAATCCAGAGACCGGGACGCCGCCCCGCCACGCGGTCGTTCTCGTTCGAGAAGTCCTGGAGCCCGCAGCACCGGTTACCGTAGTCCTACTCAAAAGCGCAGGTCTCCGCCTCCTAAAAAGCCAACACATGCACCAATTGTACGTTCCACATGTGCCCCTCATGTTTTGCAAGGCGCTAATGGGGCAAAGAAGGCGCCCAACCCCTCCCAAGTTTTGGGGGTCTTTGGATTAAGCATTAGGACACAAGAGCGGGATTTGGATGAAGAATTTTCTCGCTTTGGAAGAGTAGAAAAAGTTACGATTGTGTACGATCAGAGGGTGCGGTGGTTTACTGTGCATTTCGTTACCCTAACCCACAAAAACGTGTTTTTCAGTCCGACCGCTCTCGTGGCTTCGGCTTTATCAGAATGTCCAGCACTGAAGAAGCTACTCGCTGCATTCAGGAACTCAACGGAGTCGTACGTTTTTCTCCTCATGTGTATACGTTCCTTGCTAATATCCCTCATAGGAACTGAATGGACGTCGTATTCGGGTCGACTATTCCGTCACTGACAGACCGCATGCACCAACCCCCGGCGAATATATGGGGCATCGTCGTTCGACTAGGGACACTTACTCAGGCTCAGGGCGCGATTCGTACCACCGCGACTCCTACCGTGACTCATATCGTGACCGCGATCACCGCCGTTCCGATCGCGATAAGGACAGGGACCCTTATGGTCGCGACAGCCGTGATTGGCGCGATCGTCGCAGCCCTCGTCGTTACTCACCTGATTACAGAAGGCGAGGGAGCTACTCCAGGAGTCCTCCTAGGGGTAGTAGCCCTCGCAAGGATTTTGATGGGCCTTCAGGCACTGGTGCGACAAGCTCTTCTAACCAGGCTGAAAACGGTAGTCGTTGGTGATGGTTCATCTGTCAGCGGAAACCATCTTGAAGGTGTGCAAGTTGTGCTCTCTTGTTTCAGTTATCGATGGGCGAAAGCATGGACAAGAGGTCTCGTTCGTACAGGCACAAGTGATTGAAGAGGTTCATGGCGGTCATCCTCCAGCAAGCCTCAAGTTGGCAATGTTCTCGTTACTTCCCTATCTTGAAGAAAGCAAGACATGGTTTCCGCGTTCGCTATTTCAGACAGAAAACCAAGTTCAAAGTTCATTTCATCCTCGACTGTTTGCCTGTATCCGTTCCGCATTTCATATCGCTCTACTACTTTGTTCTACACTATCAACTTTCGCTTCCATGAAGAGTGGCAAGTCCCCGATTGCGATTGCAAGAAAGGTCAGGCACAACAATACTGCAAGTAGCGACTCAGTATATGCAGCCAAGGGAATGTTGACAGGCTTGTGGAAGGCTTCACAAACCAGGCTGAGCGAAACTTACGTCCACTCATCTTGAATGGTTCGTTCTGACATTAATGCTCAATCAGGGGGCTTGGCATGTATGGCGTTGTCAATCAAGAAGCAATTACCAAGTGCATTTTGCGCAGGCGTTTGATAAAACTCAGCGCTTCGTTGTCGGGAATCTCACGAACTCGTCGTAGCGAAAAGTTTGGTCACTACGTCGGATTCGAGTTATTATCGATCATCAGAATGCACTACTTCCGCTGGTTAATCACCTATGCATATGGCGTTGACGCGAACAGTCAAGAACTGGAATAGCATCGTAGAGTAAGACTGCATATATTCTGCCATTACGGGCCGCGGCAGCTGACCTTGAACTCCGATTCAAAGTTTCCTCGTGGAGTACGTATGACACACTTCCTCGCTATATCTAAAATGTTCTAAGCACGTAACGTTTGATCCAGCAGAAGCAGTTTGTATCTACCCATGTGCGTGCTCCACCTGAGCTCCTCAAGCTCACTAGCACTATTCATGTGTGCTCGGCGGTCTCTTATTTGTGTGCGTTATTCGCTTATCTCCCTGTCTCTACTGCTCTTGCAATTGTGCTCTACTTTTGAGCTCCACAGCATTGCAATTGATTTATTTTCTAACTAAGTGGATTCTTGGGGGTTCATCATTGCCTGCCTCGCATCACCTTTTATACAGCGCGTTCAAGCTGGACCGTCAATCACAAACAATCTTCCCTGCGACCTGATTATGCGACGACACTAATATTCAATGAATGTCAAGGCTGACGCTTGAGAAAGCCATGCTTGACCTGCGCGTTTGCACACGGATAATACTAATACACTACATTTTTCAAGAGTATGATGTCACTGAGACATTCAAACGCTATTCTCAAGAGAAGAGGAAAAGAACATCGGAAGGTGAGCGGGGCGAAGCCTTGTATATAAAAAGTACTAATTAGTACAAAGCAGCGTCCGTCAAAAAATGTATGAAAGTGATATATCAAAAGTCATCGGATCTGATGGGCAGCAGTAACAGTCCAACTCGTAGGGACAAGAAAACGACCTTCAGGTCCATAAACAATATCAGCATGTGCGAAACGGCACAACTCTGAGGATCTGATATGCGCACGAAGGAGGTCGAGACGGCACCTCACGACTCCACACGCGGAGCAGCACACCTTGACACCGAGGTGAGTAAGGATATGTCTTGACATGGCTCCCCTCTTGAGTGTCTTGGAGCAACCAGGCCACGAACAACTTGTGCTAGCGTTGTCCGGGCCATGGACGCCATGTTCTCGCAGATGGGCGGACACTGCGGTGGTTGTTCCCTCCACAAACATCCCGCAGGGGACTGCCCCTAGTCTACACTCGTATACAACGAGTGGATGACCGCATCGTTCTACTCGATGAAAGGTCTGTGGATCCACGTTCAAGATGTTGAGAGCCATAAAGATGTCGAAAGGATGAAAGGATATGCTATATGTGCAATGAATCAGCGCTGTTCTTTTGGAGACGAATATCAGACGCACCAAAGGGGTGAGGAGTGCTACCAAATAGTGAGTTCGGCATTGTCAGTTATCTTATCTCGGAGCCTCGGTTTTGAGATTGCATCTGACATCACGCCGTTCAAGGCGCTGCTGTCAGAATATTGTCCGATGAGGGAGATGATATCTATGTCGTAAGAATTATGTGTTCAAGTACTAGGTTTTGTGAAAGCTGTGGTGCCGATTACGCAGTGCACACAAATCCGCAGAAACTCGAAATTTCAAAAGACCTGCCAACGCCATCGAATCCACGTGGACCGATGAGTCTGTCAACCTCTTTTCGAAATTTCAAGAAATACTGCTCACATGTTAGTTAAATAAACATGTCTGTCGTTGAACGAGTCTCGTAACGAAGGTGGAACAAAGCTCCAGCTGCTGCCAGAACGGTACGCACTGCTTGTCGTGCTACTGCATCAAAGTTTGGAATAACTGCGGATGCCAGATGAGTCTCAATATTCAATGATGGTTGCGAGATGCTGTCCGTGCCAATCCGTAATTGCGATTACAAGAGAGTAAGTTAGTGACAGATAAACCATACTTATGCACAGACTCCAAACCATCGGCAGGTGTGAGAGAGTCTTCATACTGTTACCTTAGCCGAAAACCAAATATGTACAACATAATTTCAAACACCGCAACTTTGAGACTCTACACACCAAGCCGACTGGCAAAACTTGTAGTGGCGCGAGGTTTGGATGTATTTGTCCCACCGAAAAAGCCTTCCGAGCGCGCTGACATATCCCAAAAGAAATGGGAGCAATCGAATATTAACTGATGTCACATTGTTTATAAAAAGACAAATGGTATTGTTTAATTATGTGACGGAAATAATAATAATTAAATATTAACAGTGCAGAGAACAATGGCAGAAAATGCATAAAACAAAAGACAGAGTCCTAGCTTTCGTGCTGTTGCGCTCGTGATGGATACAAGTCTCGCAGACCGACTGGACAACGTGCTTGCATGTATGGAAGAAAATTTTCTCACTCCAGCAGACTTCATCAACCACATTCTCGGAAGCACAGAACACGAGAGCGCAAGAAACTCGCTAACAACGAAGGCAGTTAGAATATGTGCTGCCCTGTACAGAGAAGAACATGCGCACTCACATGTAACACAGTGGGCAATAACAATCGTGCGGGACATGCTGCGCACTGAGGTGACAGATTTGTCACTCGAAAAGCACGGACTTCGTTTCAAAGCCACGTCTGCAACTGTCGAACAACTGGAGAGTGCATTCATGCATCAGCTCGCAGAAAAAATGCAGGAGGTGGCACCTAACCTGTGGCATCTATTCTTCGCGCTGCTCGACAGCACACTTCAGCAGCGGCGAGCTATGGGTGGGAATGTGAAGGTGGGCAATGAGGACATGGATATTTATGTTGAAGAGAGGGACCTTGGAGAATTTGGAGGTGACGACATTGGAGGAATGATGCGCGAAGAAGACGACGTGAATGAAGAAGCTGATGACGAGCAATCAGGAAAACGCCAACGTCTAGTACGTGTTTCGTGGGTACTTCATCTCCTGGACCATGAAATGAATATTTGCACGGTCGTTTGACCGGACAACTTTAGCAAGGTTGTATGACCGAATGCGAAGTTTTGATTGGACGTCTAGGAGGATGTGCAGCGGCATGGTCGCAGACACGGCGTGAAATCGAACGTGAGCTGGAAGGTACCATCGAAGATTCCCCAGCTCACTATACAGCGGTCGAAAGTCTTTGCCCCATTCGCTAATACAATGACCCTCATCAAACACGATACTGAAGAGATTATCTGTAAACGTTCGACACTTCCAAAGTTTTTTGAATCGAGCGTCTTGAAGTACACGTTCCGGGCTAACAACAAGAACTCAATACTTCAATTTCTCTATGTCCTGATGAATATATGCTCAGACTCGTGTAGTATTCATGTCACTGAATAACGACTCACTTTAAACGCCTCGTCTGTTGCTGTCTCTGCACATATATCAAGGGCGGGAAACCCATAAGCATTTGCTTCATCTCGGTTCTTCTCGCTGAGGATATTAAGCGGGGTAATAATAATGGTTATTCCACCATTGTTGAATAACAGGGGAATCCAGAAGGTAAGAGTCTTTCCTGAGCCGGTGGGTGAGATGGTGAAGACATCTTTGTTCTCAAGCTGGTTGTGAGCGGACTGGAGTTGCCAAGTACAAGGAGTAAGACCCAGTTTCATTTCTGCAAAGCTCGGTACTTCGAACCGGCCAGCTGGCGATGACATCAAGATATGTGACTTAGAAGATGTTAAGTCTCAGAAAGGGATTATCCATCATGTCACTAAAGGCACGTCACGCTAAAGATTTTTGACAATAATATTTGATTGCTCCCATTTCTTTTGGGATATGTCAGCGCGCTCGGAAGGCTTTTTCGGTGGGACAAATACATCCAAACCTCGCGCCACTACAAGTTTTGCCAGTCGGCTTGGTGTGTAGAGTCTCAAAGTTGCGGTGTTTGAAATTATGTTGTACATATTTGGTTTTCGGCTAAGGTAACAGTATGAAGACTCTCTCACACCTGCCGATGGTTTGGAGTCTGACTTATGCACAGCCAAGCCTTGAATCCATCCTGTTGGCAGGCTTGCGGAAGTTTACAAACTGGTACTATGCTGTAGTGTCACAAACTTACGTATCATTCAAACTCTGTTACATGCCACAAATACTATAGCAAGGTTGAAACGTTGAAGTGTAGCGTATACTACTACGGTGATCATGTGTACCTTGTTAGCATTTCAGGTGGGAAACACGAGTCCCTGGACGAATGGTAACATGGTTTCTGAGCCGTTCTATTTTAGAATGCACTAACAGGTCACACATCACTGGCTCGCGACTCAAAATCTCATTTTTGATTGACCTGAAGTGTCCAGGCAATCAAGATTCGAGAAGCTGATCACCCCAGTCATTCTCCACACAAGCCTGAGGTGTATTCTCGAATGAGATGACTTTTCCCCATCACCGCCAAACTTGTTCTGTGACTTCCCAATCTGGCCTCGAGAACATCCCCTCCGGCGGAGAAAGTCCGGCACGCACTACGGCAAGAACGGCGGCAAAGCTACTGGCTAACAGACGGCACATCGGACATTGAAATACACTTGGAGGCTCGTTCTACTACAGCTGCTACCAACGACTGATATACTACCTCTTGCTCACCAGTGCACTACTCGCTGTGCAGGAACTTGGAGTCTCGGACATCCTTCCGAAGAAGTTTTCCGCACCCAGGCTTCGGAAAATGACTGTTGGAAGGTGGTAGGTGGCCGCAAGTTTCCTCTACTGCAGCAATCGCTAGCGCTGCATTAAGCAGCTAAACGAAGCTACAGTGTGACATTATCAACTGCTTGCGGCTCTACCCACGCCGATCATCCTTCCGTCCCAATTTTGGTCCGCATTGGATTCTCCGACCCACCCTCGTCCGCCAGACGTGGTTCCTCCGCTTTTGGTTCACAGCTCTACTTCGCAGCATTATTCATGTAAGCTCGAGGCCTCTCGTTAACTACGACCCTTTGTTCAAAGTACGACAGAGCCCGCATATATCCGTCCAGTTGATCATGATATTCCCGTCAATGTCCTATCTTGAAGAAAACAAGATACGGTTCTCGCGTTCACTAAGAATCTCTGATAGATATCAAGTTTGAAGTTTACTGGAGCCTCGACTTTTTGCATATATCTATGCATGTTCCGATTTTCGTATCGCTCTACCATATTATCAACATTTGTTTCCATGAAGAGTGCCCGCTGCCAAGTCTCTAGTTGCGATTACAAGATAGGTCATGTACAACAGTTATGCTGCCAGTGACAGGTCAATGCACGCAGCCAACAGAGTGTTGGCAAGCTTGTAGAAGGCTTTAAAGCTTCACAGACCAGGCTGAGCGAACTTACTCGTCTTGAATGACACATTCTAACATTAGTGATTGTTCTATCAGGAGACTTGGCATGTGCAGGGTTCTTCGGTCAAAAAGCAATCACCATCATGTGCCTTCAGCAAAGGCATCTAATCAACCCAGCGCTTGCCATGGTTGTTAATCTCACGAACTCATCGCAATGAAATGTTTTGTCACTACACCGGACTTGGATTATCATTGACCATCAGAATACACCGCTTTCAATGGTCAACCCTCACTCTAGGATAGGCTGCTGGCGCAGTGGTTGAGAAATGACACAGGAAACAATGTCCTCTATCACCGACGTGGCAGCTAGCCACGCTGGATGATTTCTTTGTACGTGCAAAAATCTCACTACTATTAAATATACAACTACAAACAATTAATTAACCCTCCATTTAGGAATGTCACCACCATGCAGCGTACAGGTCCCCTTATCTTACAACCGTGTCAGTACATTCTTCTTCAAGCGGGCTTCCTAGCGGATATAGCTAGACTCCCTAGTTGAAAAATGCAACACATGTAAACAGTGCCGGTCACAAAACAGATCAAATCACATACCGGATATTCAAGGAATTAGACTTCATGCATAGTATCAGCAGCCCAACTCATAGGGAAAATAACAAGTCCTCCAGGTCCGGGAACGGTATCGGCGATTGCCAGATGGCATGGCCCTGGGGATTTGACATGTTTGCGAAAAAGGTCGTGACAACACTTCACGATTCTGCACACGGAGCAGCGTACCTTGACACGGAGGTGAGTAAGGATGTGTCTTGCCATACTCCCTTTCTTGAGTGTCTTGTAGCAGCCGTCCCATGTACAAGTTGTAATGGCGCTGTCCGGACCAGTGATACCGTGTCTATGTAGGTGGGCAGACACTGCACTGGTGGTTCCCTCCACGCACATTCCACAGGGCACACCCTGTAATTTACAGTCATACACAACAAGTGGTTGACCGCTTTGCTCTATCCGAAACACAGTCTCCGGATCCACCATGATGGGAATGATATCGAGAGACATGTTCAAGATGCTGGTGAGTTGTCAGGTGGAATCCAGGGAGCTCGTGGATGATTGTCACAGGGACGGACTGCTGTACTGCAGGTTAGCAATGCTCTATGGAGACAGGTGCCCAACGCACCAGAGGGTTCAAAGTGTGTAAGTAGAAAACTATGGTGATTTGAGAGTTGCGACACTAGCCTTCTAATCCCAGAGTATTTAAACATTGTGATGAGGTGATGGCATTTTTCATCTTCATCAATTATATGTGCCGGCAGCGGCATTCGCGGCGGTACGAGTTCCCTTGCTGAACGGGATCGCCTGCTGCCTAGTAGGACTACTCTTAGTATGCTGTTGTACCGCCCTGAGATAAATTTATAGCACCTTCATGTTCAAAATATCTCATGATGTATATATGTATATTTTCTTCAGACAGAAACATACTGACTAGTGAGTGAACAATTGAACTTCAAGTTGATGTTTATTGCAATTGAGAATTAGCTTTGTTCTGTAATTATTTTAGAGGAGGAACAGTCTTATCTTGGACTCCCTCAAAAAGAGAAGATCGACATCGTATGATAAGTCAAGGCTATAGCTAGTCAGCCATTCCACACTCATCACTCCAGGTACTACTAGTACTAGTATATTTTTTCTGACGCGTTAATTTAATAAATTCCCTCAAAAAGAAAGGATCGGCATGTTACACTGCAGATGATGCCCTGTCACGGCTCGGGATTCGGAGTCATGATCAAGACCACCGGGCAGTGAGTACTAGTGAGTACCGAGGACTAGGAGTTGTGACAGAGACGTACTACGGCAATGTTCGACGAAAATGGCATGGTGAGTCATGCAGAACTCTGTGTGGTTTCATAGTTCTCATGCATTTCTCACTTGATTCACAGCCTGTGAGTTGCACCCGCTCCAGCGGGAATGTTCACAATCAAGCCAGCTACAGCCTCAGGCCTCAATTGAGACCCCATGCTAAGCCCTGTTTGGTAGCCACTATGTTTTGTAATTTGTTATCATGCCTATAGTAGGTGGCTTACGAGGGTGCTGATACTGAGCGCTGAGACCCTAGTACGGTGGATGTTTAGCGCTAGCCAGAAGCTGACTCGGAGTCGGACACTTCATGATGCATTGTATGATCCGATGGTCGACCGTTCGAACGTTCAATCAGAGTCAGATCATTTCAAACTCGGTCACCAACTTCGCAACATAATCTACAATCTAGTTGACGACCATGTATTGTCCAGTTGTTTCAAACTAGTACTAAGTACGAAGTTGAAAGATCGAAATGAGTGACTCATTCTCAGAGACGCACGTGTAATTACACGCATCATAACTGTTGGAGTCCGAAAGTGCCGACGGAGAGGCACGGGAGGAAGAATAGTGGATGCGAGCACAAGGGCAATGGGGCCAGGTACGACGAGGAAGTGACGTCGGGCCCGATGCTAAAAGGTAGAAAGGTTTCAGAGCAATATAAAAGATAAGACGCACTTACAGTATATAGTCTTGTCCCCCAGCAGATGAGCGTCTCAGTTCTGTTCCAAAGACTGAGACGTGAGTTATTATACCTTACAGTTATGTTAACCCCCCGCGCTAACGAAGACGTAGTAGACTCACCTGTTAGGTAGACGTTTCGTTAATGATAGTTCTGTTCCAAAGACTGAGACTAGACTCACCTGTTAGATCACGCTCTACCTCTGATTCCAAGAGGTTATGAGCCCTGGCATGACCGTCAATAATACGCTCCCCGGCACTACGTCTGCGCTGTTCAATGTCCCAAAGCTTGCCGAGGACGGCTCGAATTGGATTACCTATAAGGAGAGAACATTGACCGCGATAAGTGCCCGAGGTTTGATGCGATATGCGGATGGTCGTGCGCTCGAGCCGTTGCCCTATCCCGTCGACAAAAAGACGGGATCGTTAAAGCCGAAGGCAGACGGTTCAATACCTAACGAGAAGGAAATCGAGGAGCGCGATAAGAAAATCGACGAGTACGACCAGAAGAACTCACTGGTGAAACAGCAGGTGTTCAGCACGATTACTGACCGCCTGCTACTGCGCGTGCAGAAGCTTGAGTCTGCCTCAGAGGTCTGGGCAGAGATCTGCCAGATCCATGAGGACAAGACCGAGCTAGTACAGATTGATCTGCGGCGACGGTTGCATGAGACGAGATGCGATGAGGGTGGGGATGTTAAAGCTCACTTTGCCGAGATGCTGCGCCTCCGCAAGTCACTCGCAGGAATGGGCGCAGGGATCCTCGATCCCGATTTCCATGCCATGATCCTGGGCTCCCTCCCAGAGTCCTATCGCCCCCTCCTATCGTCCATTAATGCGGCCGCGAAGATCACGAAAACTCCCTTGTCCCCCTACGAGCTCATTAACATCGTGACAGAAGAGTACGAGCACCGTCTACTTACCGAGAAGCGTCCTGGTAAGAAGGGAGGGGCCAACAGCGCACTTAGCGCTAGAGAGGCTAAAGGACAGGGCAGGAGGTCAGCCACGTCGAGCAAGACCAATTTGGACATAACCTGCTACAATTGCGATCGTAAGGGACACTACAAGTCCGACTGCTGGAGACCTGGAGGCGGGAAAGAGGGTCAAGGGCCCAATCAGCAACGAAAGAAGGGTGAGAAGGGACATACCGAGACGGCAAACTCTGCCGTTGAGGGTGCGTCGCAGGACCAGTATGCCTTCGCAACGTCAGACTTGGCTACCATAGCCAAGGCCATCAAGGTCCCTGCCGAAAAGCGTGGCGCCATCGTCGACTCAGGCGCTACCTCCCATTTCTGCCCAGATAGGGCGAAATTCACCAACTACGTTGATATACCCCCCCAGGATGTCCACACAGCCGACAGATTGAGCCTAAGTGCTGTTGGGCGTGGAGACGTTGAGCTGGAACTACCTCTCGGAGACAAACGCAACAAGGTCACTCTCAAAGACACCCTCTATGCCCCTACCATGGCGTTCACCCTCATCTCCACCAATCGCATCACCGAGGCAGGCATGGCGGTCCTGTTCGAGGGCCGAATGTGCACCATACTCTCCCGAGGGCCTCAGCGCACTCCAATCGCTGAGATCCCGATGGTAGAGGGCCTGTATAGCCTAGTTGGCGCAGGGAGACATCAACACCATGCAAACCTCGCAAAAGCCAAGCTCACCGTCAACGAACTCCATCGCGTATTGGGGCATGTCTCACAGACTGCGGTGCTCGATGCAGTCCAAAAGGGTCTTGTGACTGGTGTCGAGCTCGACACAACGTCGAAGCCCGAGTTCTGCGATGTCTGTGTCAAAGCGAAGTCAGCCCGGAAGCCATTCCCCACTGAGGCAACCACCCGCGCACTTACCTATGGCGAGCTGGTGCATACCGACCTATGGGGCCCAGCGCAGACAATGAGCATAGCGGGTGCCCTATACTATATCAGCTTTACGGACGATTTCAGTCGTCAGACAAAGCTTCACTTTCTGAAGCTGAAGAGCGAGGCACTCACTGCGTTCAAAGCATATGAGGCATGGTTGGCCCGTCAGTCCCCAGGAGTTCGGCTCTGTAAAGTCCGTTCCGATAGAGGGGGTGAATACCTGAGCGCAGAGTTCGATGAATACCTGCGTCAGCAAGGCATCGAGCGTCAGTTAACGGTCCATGACTCACCGCAGCAGAATGGTGTGGCTGAGCGTCTCAATAAGACGCTGGTTGAACACGCTTGCGCGATGCTCCTTGCGAAGGATCTGCCCAAATTCCTGTGGGACGAAGCCATTAACTACGCCACCTGGTTGAAAAATCGCTTACCGTCTAGGGCGACACCAGGTACCACTCCCTTCGAACTCGTTCGCAAGGCCAAGCCGGACCTTGCGCAAGCACACGAATTCGGTGCGATGGTGTATGTCCATGTGCTGGGAAATGGGAAGTTAGAGGCGAGGGCGGAGGAGGCCATATTTGTGGGTGTCGATGCCGAAAGCAAAGGGTATCGGGTTTACTGGGTGTCTCAGCGGCGGATTTCCGTAGAGAGGAATGTCACCTTTCGCCCTACAGACGTCCTGGTGGCTGAGGATGTCCTGAATGAGGGGGAGTCCAACACCGTAAGTGAGAACGGCAGCACCAGCAACAACAACGTACCTATCGTTCAGCCCACCTCAACCCAACCACCCTCTACCCCATCCACTCCTCCAACGCAACACCAGCCTCTACCAACTCCACCTGCCCCAAGACCCACAAGAGTAAGGCCACCACCAGGCTACTATGCGGCCCTCCATGAGGGGGAGACAGCATCTATGGCGCTGGAAGCCCTAAACGAGGCATCAACTGTTAGATCTCCTGGATGAGGAGACTCACCTTCACCTTGCGTTAGCAGCAGCAGAGCCCGAGCCAACCTTGCAGCAGGCCCTAAACGGCCCAGACAGCGTAGAGTGGGAGGAAGCCTTGAACTACGAGATTAGTCAACTCGAGAAGCTAGGTACCTGGGAAATTGTTGACTTACCGCACGGCGCAAACCTTATCCCATGTCACTACGTCTTGGCAACCAAACGCGGACCGGACGGAGAGAAGCTGAAGCTTCGTGCACGCCTCGTTGCAAACGGACAGCGGCAGAAGTTCGGAGTCGACTATTTCGACACTTTCGCGGCGACCGCCAATATGAGCACCATACGGACAGTACTGGCTATGGCAGCACAGCGGGACTGGGAGATCCATCAGATAGACATCAAAAGCGCTTACCTGTATGCGAGCATCCAGGAAGAGATCTACATGCGCGCGCCTCCTGGATACCTGGGTGAGGACCAGCGAGGGAAGGTACTGAAGTTGAAGAGGAGCCTACCTGGTTTGAAGCAGGCAGGGTACGAGTGGGCGGAGGAATTAGCAGGAGTGTTTGCGAAGCTAGGGTTTAGTAGGTCAAGGGTGGACCAGGCGGTATACTTCCAACGTACCTCGCACGAACAGATGGTCGTGACGGTTTCTGTCGACGACATGGCAGTCACGGCAAGCCACATATCCCTCATCCATCAGTTCAAGGCCCGGCTCCAAGAGTTCTTCGAAATATCGGACTTAGGCGAGCTGAAATGGCTGTTAGGATTGAAGGTAACGCGTGATAGAGTGGCACGCACCTTAACGCTGTCACAGAAAGCATACGTGGGCACCATCGTCGAACGATTCCATCTTGAGGACATGAAGGCAGCCCAGACTCCTATGGAACCTGGCGTCATCCTATCCGTTGATCAGTCCCCCGCAACCCATGCTGAACTCGATGCAATGAAAGACGTACCGTACCAGCGTGCAATTGGATCCCTCATGTACGCTGCCACTAGCACCAGGCCTGACCTCAGCATTCCCTCTTGCCATCCTGTCCCAGTTCATGCGCAGCCCTGGTAGAGCTCACTGGGAAGCCACCAAGCGCGTGCTGCGATACCTAAAAGGTACAGCTGACGCTGAGCTGACCCTCGGATCCACTGATGGTGGTCTTGAGGCCTACGTCGATGCAGATTGGGCATCCCAGCCACACCGACACTCGATGTCGGGATATGTCGTCCTGTTGAATGGGGGACCTGTAGCCTGGAGTGCACGTAAGCAACCAGCTGATCGCAGTTGTCCACAGCCGAGGCAGAGTATATAGCACTCACCAGCGTTGTACACGAGCTCCTCTACCTCCAGCTCCTCATCGCCGAGCTGTACGAGCCACTCCCACTCCCCATTCACATCCTCTGTGATAACCAAGCCGCCATAGCATTAGCTTCAAACGGGAAGTTCCAGTCACAGACGAAACACATTGACTTACACTACCATTTCGTACGCTCACACGTCAAGGACGGAACGTTCAAGCTGCTCTACTGCCCCACCGACGACAACTTAGCTGATGCCTTCACAAAGGCACTAGCACGCCCTCGTTTGCAAAAGCTCAGGACCCGCATGGGACTGACTTGCGCTCGAGGGGGAGTGTTGGAGTCCGAAAGTGCCGACGGAGAGGCACGGGAGGAAGAATAGTGGATGCGAGCGCAAGGGCAATGGGGCCAGGTACGACGAGGAAGTGACGTCGGGCCCGATGCTAAAAGGTAGAAAGGTTTCAGAGCAATATAAAAGATAAGACGCACTTACAGTATATAGTCTTGTCCCCCAGCAGACGAGCGTCTCAGTTCTGTTCCAAAGACTGAGACGTGAGTTATTATACCTTACAGTTATGTTAACCCCCCGCGCTAACGAAGACGTAGTAGACTCACCTGTTAGGTAGACGTTTCGTTAATGATAGTTCTGTTCCAAAGACTGAGACTAGACTCACCTGTTAGATCGCGCTCTACCTCTGATTCCAAGAATAACATATGTACCATGGGTGGGTTGATGCATCTCGTGTCTATGTTCTACTACCTGTATGGCTGCACTAAAAGTCCCGACAACGGCCTGAAAAAGCCGTCTTTTGGCCGCTGGCTAGATGTTCTTAGGGCTTAATAATATTTAATAAGTTAAGGCCTAGACATAAGGCAAATATTTGGGTCTCTCCCCTTATTAGGTATACTCTCTGTAGTGGGTCCTATCACAGGGTGCACAGACCATATACTAGGCTTAAGAAGTATGCGTGCCTACGTAGAATAGAAGTAGTAGGGGCAGCGGCCAAGCCCCCCTGATGACTCATGAGAGCCTTTCGCAAGGTTCGAAACTGCTGTCCCCTGCTTTACTAGTGTCCCTCTGCTCAACCTCTATCCTAGGAGATCGTGGACAGCAGTGCTGAGTACAGGATGCGGTTGGCCTAGTGCGTCCGTAAAATCTGGGCCAACGACCACATCGCCTCAAAATTTGACATTTGATTTTTTGTTCCCCAATTACCAACTTAATCGACAACCACAGTCGCCCCCAATCCACTTCATATAGCATTATAAGGCACTGTACCAACCAGACGCAGATTCCTAGATAATAAATATCATAAATATAAATGTACATCCTTTACATAAGATAATGAATCCATCGGGGACGGAAGCCGCAGATATCGGTCACCCAGCTATTCTAGACACAACTGTTCCGCCATGCTCAAGTCCACCTCCAGCAATGAAAACTTGCGGCGTATTCTCGAACGGGATGACTTTTCCCAGAGTCTCCCCGTCACCACCGCCAAACTTGTTCTTCATCCTCTCTTTGCCCTTTTTCGACAAGTCCGGAAAGTCAGAAAGACCGACGGCAGGCCGCACGCCTTCCTTTACTGCCATCGCCAGCGTTGCGCCCAATGAGTCCCGCACATCCGCACCTTCCCAATCCACGTCCGACATGACGTTCACCCACGCGTAGTTCACCGGCCTGGGCTTCATCTTTCTTCTGTCCCTCTTGCCCCTGGGGGGCGCGACGGATGGCTGAGAAAACTCGGCACCATCGTGGACTTGCAAGGTACCTTTGGAGTTTCCGATGCGAAGCGCTCGTACGCCCGCACGGAAATGATCGCTCGCGGTAGACACTACACGGTCGGGTGCGTCACCTACCAGGGTAGTAAACTGGCCTTCAATTTTGGCTCGCGCGGCATCGTGAACTGGAAGGCTGAGTAATGTCCGCCCGGCCTCCCAAATCTCACGGCCCCCAATCGTATCGATGATCGCATCAAAACGAACGCGCGTGCGTGCCAAGTAGGTGAAAAGTGCCGTCGCCGAGGCTTTTTCAGTCTGATATGGAGTGAGACGAAGTCCAGTATAGGAATATGGAGCAGGGAGTGCACCACAAGAGTGAGATGTAGAGGAAGTATGGCCATGTGTGGAGGGTGAGTATGGTGACGACAATGTCGACGACGTCGACGAGCGTGAAAATGGCGAGGGAAATATATTATGTGAATGAGCTGAAGAAGAAGAAGAAGACTGTGGATGGTGCAGGGACGTCGATGAAGATGAAGGGTCGTCTCGTGGAGTTGACTCAGATGTGGAGTTTGACTCGATAGGGACAAACAAAACTTCGTCTACACCCCACCCACGAAGCCGTTTCTCAATTCGTTCCAGCATAACTCGTCGTATTGCCAACGTACGTTTCTTGTCTTCGTCTTGAAGATCCTCTTCGAACTCGTGAGGAAGACCGGGAAGGTCAAATGGTACAGGTACATGAGCCCAGACAGACCACCCAGCGCGAACAAGCATCTGCAGGGCTAGTGCACCGGGTCCGTCGTGTCCACGTAAAATTAATATGCGAGGACGCGTCGTGTCGAACCGCCTTTCTGCCGAACCATGTTTGATGGAACGCATGATGACAACATCATCTTCATCAGTGTCGCTGGTAACTTCACGACTATGCCCGTTTCTGCGTGGCCGCCATGCAGCTACGTCAGGCTGTACTAATGCACGTGTGATGTGCGTCAATGTGCGTACAGCGCGATAAGCAGGAACGCCTGAAAGCGGGAGCAGAGCAAGCTCGTCCACTGTGAGACCGTTGGGTTCATTCACAGCAGGAAATACAAGCGAATTGCGCTGCCCCACCCTGTCATCCTCGCTCAACGAGGAGAGAACCAGAGATGGCTGATCAGGCATGTTAGGATGTGGCACGCAATGAATGCGATGTCGGTCAACGAGAATGAATTCAGTCAAAGCACCACACTTCGAAATGAATCAGCACATTTGTATCAAATCTCGTGTCAATGTAAATACAAACCTTCTGCACGCTGTTGAGACCGACGACCCAGTCTCCTTTCTTAAGACAGTGTTTGTCAACATCCCATCCCACTTCGAGGATACGCCCAACAAAAGACCGCCCTGGAATAAAACCTAGTGGAACGAGCCTTTTCCCATCACCTTTCTCCTCAATCCTGTGAGGAGTCCCCGACGATGGTTGCTTCAATGGCGGCGGATGCACACCCACAAGACGGGCATCCACATCGTCCAGCCCCACAGCCCACACTTGCACTAGCACTGAACTTCCGCCAACATAAACCGGAGGTTTTCGATAGACTGTGAAACCGAGTGGACTCTCTGCAGGGACCTGTCGAGATTTGGCCTTCCCTTGCTTGACATGATCCTTTGAGAACCAGCCCAAGCCAAACGACGGCCCAGAAGACTTCGATTCCTGGCATTTGGCATTACCAGACGCGATTCCACGAACAATCTCCACGCTGGCCATCGTCGTCTGCGCAAGTCCAGCTCGTGTAAGATCAACCTTATCTCCAAACCCGAGTCCCGCGCCCAGACTTTCTGCGGCTGTTGCCCTTCTACCTGATTTCCAGGGGCGCCAAGAACCGATACCAGAGTTCGATCCAGAGGTGGGCGTAGAAGTGGGCGCACGAGGAAGAACAAGGCTGGTGAAGCCACGGGTACCACTTGATGGAAGTGCGTCTGCCTCGCATGAAGATGACGCATGCGCAGCAAGGGCGTCCAGGGCATTTAATGGCGCCGATGTATAGGGAGATTTCGTGGTTGAAGAAGTTACGTAGGAAGCGCTGCTCATTGGGCGAGACGCGACGCTGAGGGATGACGCAGAACCAGACATGCCAGATTGTGAGATTACACCAGTCGCATGAGAGTTCAAGCGCGTTGATGACGACCGAGATGGCGTGTCATTGCGAGACAACGAAGGATAAGACGAACTACGACGTCTGACCAACTTCCTTGGTGCTGGCTGCGATGAAGTCGCAGATGGCTTCTGTCGTACCGGTCTCGGTGGTTGGGGAGTATGTGTTGGGATATGTGTCAAAGACTGCGAGCGCTTATGAGGCATACTTCTATCCACTCCAGCAGGGTTACCACACAGGTAAGCGTCCTCCTCCACTTCAAGAAGAACCGACATGCCAACCATCGCACGCATTTGTTTTGGCTTCATGTGTCCGTGACCTTTTGACCTTCGTCCACGAGGAAATGGAGGTTCAACTTTCGGAAGGTTATGCAGCTGAGAAGGCACATCAGTGCTCGGTAGAGATGAGGCAGAGCGTGATGCTGCATTTGAAACACTGCTCGACGAAGCATTGCGTCCGACATCCTTGCATCTAGTCCCGTTATGTTGCGAGGTCTCAAGCCATCGAACGTCTTTGGCCCAATCTTGGTCCGTATAAGTTACCTTACGGTGGTTGGGAATACGTTTATGACGCCCCGGCTCGTTCTTGACGGGATACATGGTGACTGTGGTATTCATAGAAGATTCGATCAAGGATGTTGTCGAAACAGATATGAGCTGGGGATTATCAGACCCTAAAGAGGCAACAGACGATGCAGCAGAGTGAAGGGGTGTCGAATATGGGGTATGAGCTGGAGTCTGCGAGCAAGAGGCTGGAGGGGAGGATATAGGTGAACTTGGAGGGGTGTAGAACACCTCTTCAAAGTCGGGCTGAGAGAGATCTATAGATTGATCTGCAGAAGCGTGGAGCTCCAAAACTGTTGCTTGCCGTGGTAACTGTTGCTTCTCGCTATGAACGTCGGCGGCGATAGAGACACTGAGAGGGTGTCCTCCAGAGCTCAGCGGTGCCGCAGCGGTAAGGACATGGGCGTTCTTCAGTAAGGACAGATGTTAATATATGTCGGTGTGTTTTAATCGTAACTCACCTGTATAAATGCACATGATTCATCTGGGAGAGAACGTCGGCGCTCGTGATCATTGTGGTGAAGCAGATCCTCATGATTGAATTCGGAGGCTATACGAAGCAATTCACCCTTGGTTGAGTGAAAATCCCTTGTGTAGGGCTGCTCATGAGGTTGAGGGGCTTTTGAAGTTGATATTGCGCGGCTTGTGCCTGTAGCATATTTCTGGGAAGGTCTTCGGAGTACCTTCTGGAGAAAAGTCGGACGAGCCATAATGGGCGTGTTGACCGCCGTCATCAACTGCAGGGCTATATAATCACGATAAACTCAGGCTGCCAACACCACCCCACATGTAGACAGCGTGGCTATAGCGGAGCGTGTAAGGAAAGTTAGAATCAAAACCTTCTGGATCGACACACTACTGAGTATGTGATATACGTCATATCATCTATTGTGTCACGTTTTTGCCAAACCTTCGCTGCCGTTTCCCTTTACCTGGAACAACAGCAAAGGACACTGTTCGCTTTCGCTTGGGCGGGGGCAACAATTCAGGCACCTCCTCTTCATCCTCATCATCAACATTCTCTTCCTCACTATTCTCGGAATCGCTGCCTTGTTCGGCACCATCGCCGTCCTCATCTCCGGTTGGCTCTTCATTTCCGGCATCCTCATCGACCTCATTTTCACCGACTTCTTCATCAATAACCCACACATCGTCCAATAACACCTCCCTCTTCTCTGCTTCTCCAGGCTGCAAACGTACAAGTTTCACGTCTTCCGCTTTCCGTAGCTCTTTCCGGCTCTTCAGCATTGCCAGAATTCCTTCATTATTTGCTGAAGAGGACGTAGTCGGTGACCCCGGTGGCATGGTATACCTCGCGAACTTTCCAATGCTCCAATCTCTGAGTACAATGCGCGCCGCACCCGCATGATCCAGGACACCACGCTGCAGTACCACAGATAAGCGTGCGCTTAAATCATATCGTCGGAAAACACACCTTTTTTATAAGCCCGCTCGCACGTGCCATTCCAGCAAGGAATGAGGTCGGGTCGCCCTTCGAAAAGGCAGGTAAACTGTATGCCAACATCAAATCCTGGGTATCTGCTCGAGACACAATGTGCTCAACTTTCATGACGTCAGATCCAGGGTAGAGGAGTAGCTCGGGGACACTCACCAGCAAATAATGGGTCTTTCAGTCGATCAATCCGCCCTCGACTTCGGAGTAGGATGTCTCTTGCTCTTGCCATTTCTTTCTCCTGCTCTTCTACATCCTCCGCACGGACATATTCCAATCCTGGGGTATCAATCAATCGCACATTGACCCCTTTTTTGTCAGGAAACTCCAAGACTAGCTCGCTTGCTGTTGTTGTTGTATGAGGGCCTTTTGTAGATATCGTAGAATTGAGATTGTAGATAGGTAGCAGATCTGCGCGTGCAAGAGAATTGATGACCGCAGATTTACCGGACTGGATGAAGCCATTTGATCAACAATAGTTCGACGCGAGATCAAACGAGGAAACTTACGTTGGTAACTCCCGTTAGGGCCACAACCAACTCCTCGCCAGATTTTTTGGCCTTGCTGAGCTGCTGCCAGACTGCGTCCGAGCCAAGTGCATCGTCCAATTTGACAGGAATTTTCTTTGATGCCGGGGGCAGGTTGGGTCTGGATGGTAAGAAAGCTTCTGCCACGCGAAATGGCAGGGCGGGATACGTTAGTCGTAAGTAGGATAGCCATGACGCTAGAGATTCTCGTGGTACGCAATCTATATGTAATCGATCAAATGCCATTCATAGACATAACGAACAACTTACCGATCTTGTTCACGAGAAGTATGATATCTTTGCCTCTCGCTTCTTTAAACAAGGCCTCACTAAGGCCTGCCGCAGGATCCCGTGCATCCACTACATGGAGCAGAACGTCCGCTTTTTGCAGCACCTCGCGAAGAGAGGCAGGTCCTTGCGTGATCGGTATGGCAGGTTCTGAAGTCGAAGGTTCTACAGGTTTCTTGATAGATGGTGCTGGAGGTGCGGGACGAATGGACATAATGCCATCAAAACCTTGCCCGTCATTTTGGTTTTCATCAATGTTGACGTTTTTTTGAGAATCTTCGACATCTTCGACGTCGAGTCCCGTGAGAGCAGCGCGCTTTTCAGCCTTACGCTGCTGCTTCTCCTCTGCAGCCTGTAGTACAATCAAGTCAGTAGGGGAGTAATCGTATAGATTAGTGCTTTCTTACTTGACGTCGTGACTCTGCGACTTCTGCGAGTATTTGATCCTTGTAGGGAAAATTGTTCGGAATCCCGGGATCTTTTTTAGATTTCTTGTGGGCTACACAAAGACTATGAGCACAAGGACACAAATGTTACACAACCCAGCAAAAAAAATAGATGTAAAGATGATTGTTTCAAAGAAGTTCGCCTATGACAATGCACGGCACTCACTTGTTCCAGCGGCCTGTGCTTTCCGAACCTGTTTCTTAGCTTTCTTCCTGCCTTGCGAGACCTTATGCTTCAACTTTTCACGCTGGTGTGTCGTCCCTCGCTTGGATGTTTCTATTCCGCGGTGTCGACATCACGAATGAGTGTAATTTCATGGAGTTGATTAACTACATACTTTTACGAATCCGAGGCATAGCAAAGTGTTTTGCAAGTGCAGGCTGAAGTCACTCGATGCAGCAATTATCGCTCAAGTATCCTAGGCCTAGGATGATGGAAGGAGCCTCGACTTAGTGACTCTGCAACAACTTGAAGGTTATTTTCGCGTTTTCGCAGTGATTATTAAGCTCATGTGTTGAAAAGGCAGCCGCTCGTACGCATTGGGTGCTAAGTATTATATAGTAGTAACGGCTACTATAGTACCTGAGAAGTTCAACGGCCCAACGCTCTCGTATTCACCGGTGAACGTTGAAATCTATTTGTCCGATTGATTCTGGCTCAGATATCGACATGCACCATGCGTTGCTCATTCCAGATGTCCGAGCCCATATCTTCGCCTCTATCAAGGAAGATAGGCAATTGGGTCGATGTACCTTTGCCATGTTAGCCAGAACCTGCAGTGCCCTGAGCGAGGCTTCTCTGGACGTTCTCTGGAGCGAACTGGATAGTTTGCGTCCACTATCATCATGCATTTACGCAGCAAATACTGTGTCGTCGAGCGACGAGGTATGTCTATTGCATTTGTCTGCTATATTCCAGGCCGAATCATCACGTTCTATCTCACAGCTCACGATTGAAGCCAACGATGACACGAGGCCAGATTTCTCTGTCTTCGATAAATATGCTCATCGTGTCCGCAAATTAGACCTTTCCGGACAACAAAGGTTCCTGAGACGCAACGGTGGTTACCCATCTCTCACCGAGGATTTAGGCGCATTGCTCTATTATACATTGAACTCCCCCCTCCTACCGAACCTCAGGCACTTAGCTTGGGCCCCTGGGATGGGTCTCAACTTACTTCGTCATCTGCTCGGTCCACATTTGCTGTCTCTGAAAATACCCAGTCACCGCTGGAGCTCAGCATCCACTCTATTTGCCCTGACCAAAATTCCTGCACTTTGCCCGAAAATCAAATCACTGACGCTACAAGTTCATTCTTGGGATGGACATATAGACTCAGAATTAACTCAAAGCTCGCATTGCATATCTCGTGTAATCGGTTCCTGGCCCAAACTAGAGGAGCTGGATTGCAACCCCATGACCTTCGAAGGTGTTCTACGCCTGTCTGGGATGGAATCTCTCAGAATTCTCCGTCTACAAGTTAACGCCGCATCTGTCATTGAACTACCTCCAGACTCGCTTTCATTTCCATCGCTGCATACTTTTCAGTTCCAAACCGACACCCTGGACACTGCTATCACTCTTATGAAAGCGATGAAAAGCTTTCCCAAATCTTTAAAGATTGATGTGTTTGCGGGGCGGTCCCGCAGAGGAACTTGCAGTCCGGAAATTGTTGGGGTCCTCTTGGGCCTCGTCGGTCGAGATGCATTCGAACTTCGACATTTCAGCCTGAATCTCCCATTCCTTCTGGGAGATAATCCTGAAAATGTCTCTGAGATCCTACGACCCCTCTTCGTGTGTCGTGAACTTCGTACATTATCCCTACGAATGTCATCGCCATTCACTCTCGGTGACGACGATTTGGAAATGATGGCTCGCGCTTGGCCGCTGCTCGAGGAACTCGAGCTGATCGATTTACGACCACGTGTAGCAACTCACACTCCCCCTCCCCTTCCACCTCCACCTCCACCCCCCCCTCCACCCCCACAACCTCTCAATCCTCAACTGCCTCTACCACCCATCACTACTACGGGTCTTGGTCAGCCAAATCAAGCTCCCCAACCTCAGGTGGTTACTGTCACCATACCCCACCATATGCCTATGCCGCTACCTCTGGCACACGCTGGTCAGGCAAATCAATTTCTGTATCCACCCGCGTTTACCATTTCCCCTCCAGTATTTCCAGTGTTTCCGCCGCCAGACCTTTTCTTCCCTGTCAGATCACGAACTGCTGAACTCACTTTCCACGGCCTCATTTTGCTTTTGAAGCTATGCCCAAATCTTTACTACTTTGACCTGGCGCTCGACGCTACCAAACTGGATGATCTACAAGGCGATAGGCCAGGCGGTGGAGTTTGTAATCGACTGGTCAAGTATGCCAGGCTTATCGATTCACCCATTGGCGATCCTGAGGTGGTCGCTCGTATCCTCTTCGACATACTTCCTGAACTTGATCCCCTTGCGGGGCCAAATGCTCTACTGCCAGTCCCACCTCCACACCTGCCCGCACACAACATGACGCCTCAGAGGTGGAACCTCGTTCGTCAGAGAATGATGGATTTCAGACATAATGCGAGACATGGTACACCGCAGCCTGTTAGCGAGATTTGATCTGGATGCATTTGTTATGTATAACTACGTGTAAACTTCTTGCTCAGAGTCTATATAATGGCTCAACAGTCTTCATACATGATATCTTTCAGGCAGATTACTATATGATGAATGACCAGTGTGCGTTTCTAATGTAGTTGTGTAATTGTACCAATCACCAGGGAAGTTCGGGACGCGACCGACCATTTATTATTATGCATGAAATACAGTATGCATGGGCAAGTTTCGTATAATCTTACCTCTGACCAAATTGCTGCCGCCAGATGCATGTAGTCTCAAAGCTAGACAAAGTGACAACGTTGATCGTTATGCTCGCTGATGATGTACCGGGCCAGACGACATAAGACCCACAAAACCATAATAACGCAACTTTAGCTCGTTGTGATGCTGTCAATACTGGAAACAAAAAGCGGTGGTTTCGATTAGGATCAACAGATAGTAGGAAAATGTCGGATTCTACATTCCCCTCGTGATCCAGGGCGAGGTGCAGGGTCGATCTGCAACGCTCCCTGACTCGTGGGTCATGTTGTAATAGGAGTGAAGCGGTCCTCGAGGTGATGGCGGTGTGCAGACCGCCGCCGCACGTAAATGGTCGAAGCTTCCAGGGAAGAAATATTAATATCGGTTCGATGTGGAATTAGTGTGAAATTTATGTAATTAATTGTCGAGAATGCCGCACGCTGATATCCACTATAGATGGAAAATCATAAATGAACGTTAATGAACACGAATTGATTCATGCCCACCTGAGGTAGTTGGTGCTGGGCCATTGAAGGAACAGAGTGCGAGGAGTATCTTTCCATTTTGATCATATACAGAGAAAATGGGGTGGCTGCAACGTCCTTGAAGAATGAAATGCACTGTGTATTGACATTGACACTTCTCCCCAAACATAAGTTAGTACTATAATATAAATAACTTGTCTAACCAAGAGTCCCGATGATTTAATCATGCGGACGGCGTCCACTCAGCAATCCACTCCTTCATGTACATCAATCCTGCTGCCTGCACGACCGCAATGGTCGGGTCTACGATGCCATTCTCCGTGATCAGATCCGAGCAATGGAATCCATCGCCCTCATAGATCGGCATGCTGGTAGTATTGGCCTTATATAGTCCATCAGCAGAGACAGTTGCCTCGCGCCAAGGGTCACGTAGGCCATTGGCGAAGAAGAGGCGCGGAACATCGAGGTTCCAACCGTCATACATCATGTCGGTCTCTGTAGTGGTTGGCTGAGGTGGATAGGCGAAGGCTTGAGGAAACATGTCTACGCATTGGCGCTGAAGATTATGTTGAAGAATGCTTATACCTCGAATACAAGGTACGTACCTCTTCGTAAATGGGTTGGAGGATGCGGCTCACAATCGCTGGCTGGCCTTCAGGAGGGCCAACCTGGTACCATCCGACTTGGTTGCACCTGGAATCATTGTCAGAGTGGATATTCGAACTGATGAGAATAAATACATACACCATCCAAAACCACGACCTCTCAGCATTATTTATGGTAACATTAGTATAGAAGGACTGGGTCGCGTTATACGTCCCAAGACAGGTTCTAGCTTTACAATTAGCCAATTTGGATAAATACATCCCAAGGATACGTACTCAGCATCCTCGGATCCACAGACTTTACTATCAACTTTAGCCACGTCAATCGGAAATCAAGGGGACCGCTTACCATAGTTGTAGTAGGTGGTATTCCAGAAGTTGCCCCAAGAGTAGATGGCATTTTCAAGACCCCATCCTTCAGGTCCGGCACTGACGCCGTCCTTGACCTCGAGTGCATCACAGAAATCGAAGAACATTGCTCCTGGACCGACATCAGGTTGCAGAGATTGCCAATCGAACAGGTTGTATTGAACTGTTAGCCCAAGCAGAGTCAGTCAAGTCAAGAAGGCAGTGGAACAATTTAAGAAAAAGAATGTCGCAAAAGGTAATCATGTGGAAGAGGAACTCGGCGCGCTGGTGAAGGCAATATTAACTACATATGTTGCGTGGACCAGAAGCCCTTCGGACCATTATGCTCGTTCCACGCAAAGATTCAAGACTGAACGAAGGTCAAGGGCGACTTACGTGCACTGGCGAAATCATCTACGTGTACAACATCGCCAAGGCCAAATGCGTCCTTGAGGGTCTGGATTCCAGCTGTGTTGTTAGCCGCGTACAACCCATCCAGGTACATGATCACTGCCTCCACATCAGAGGAACAGTTCTGTGGCATGTACTCGCGAATAGGGGTGAAATACCCATAATAGTCACTGTCTTGACCGAATGAAACCCCATTTCAGTGAGATATTGCAATGCAGATATATGAAGATGGTTATTACGGTCGGAGAAACGATCACATTAATAAGACACGAGCGGTGATTTCAATAAAATGACATACGTGATTGCTTCTACGACCGCAGAAGATGCATATGCGGCCCAGAAAAGGCCCGGTTTGCTTTACGCAAATCATTAACGGAAAAAGATATTCACTTCTGGTAAGACACTTACTTGACCATCGTCCAACCCGTGAGGGCCCCCGAGTAGCTTCCTCCAATCAGTATCCATGGTGCCTGACCTGGTTTCACAGCATCGCCCCCAGGCATGGGAAGGTCAGCGGTATTGGCAAAATAATCGAGATCATCAATGGCTTGCTGGATGGTAAGGAGGGCGAGAGATTGCGACGTGAGGTTGTCATATGGATTGGAGTAGCCAAAGAAACGGTGTTCGACAAGGACGGCTGCACCACTCTGTTGTTGAGCAATGAGGCCATTGATGGTTTCATTGGTGAGGTAGCCCTCGTAGCCTAGAAACCAAGTACTTGAGAGAAAATCACAAATCAAGGATGGTAAACTGACCATCCGCGTCAGTTTCTCCAGGTGTCATCAAGACGATGGGACCACCTTCAATGCATCAGGTTAACGGTTGTACCTCATTCCTCAGAACATACCGGGCTCGTAAAACTCCCAGTTCATCCAGTATCGCTGCTGGAAGGTCCCGAGGTCTGGACTATTGTGGTCGATGAGCTGATCAAAGTAATAGACGGTCGTAATGGGTGGGAGTGCTGTGCCATTCGGCGAAGTGTTAGAACGAGCCGGCACTGGGATCTTTGGGAGAGAAGGCATGCCGCGAAGCATGGCGTTGGGGATAGCTGCTCGGGCAAGACCTGCAAGCAGGAGGGACGCAAGGGCCCACATCATGTTGAACAATGATGACAAGGATGGCACTCGACGACATGGTGGTAGGACCTTTTATAGCCACGGGGGGCATCGCACTTTTGATTGAAACATGTGCTACTCGCTTCGCTTCGCAAGACTCGGTGATAGATGCAGTCTCAGGGTATAATTGGACCTAGTAAGCAGCAAATTGCCCAAGTGCTCTCAAACTGAACTTGGCAGAAGACCCACTGTATTTGCTCACCGCATTGAGAGTTTTGACCCGCACGACTGAGATAGGTTCCGATCAATGGTCAATTAGAAGTTCACTGACAATTTCGCTAGTGGCGCTCACCGTTTGAATGCCATGGCAATGTAAACTTGAACACCGGTTCCGAAGCTGGACCACGCGAACATCTGATTGTTATACTAGCACATGCGTCGGTGGGAGAAGAACTGGACACCACACGATGACCAGCATGGCTAAGTGAGTTCCCTTCGTAGAGACCACGTTGCACCGTAGTTCCATCTAGCACGAGGCACTTGCCGGCCCGCTGCAGTGATGGGGACTTTCCATCTAAATGCGGTCGAGCGCGCGATCACGTTGCCTTTTTCGTTTACTACGTACAGCCAGTTGTACAGCAGTCCTTTGTTCGTGGGCCTGAGGTATGTGGTATCTGCTTACTTCATGCAGACCTTCTCTCATTTCCTCTAGCTCGCTTATAGCCTACATTGTGACCAACAACTGTTGAATTGTCGAAATGCATCATGCGCTACTTGTTCCAGACATCTTAGATCACATCTTCGCGTTCATCAAGGCTGATAGTCAGCAAATCAGTCGCCGGACTTTCGCAGCACTCGCTAGAACCTGCAGTGCTCTTAGTGATGCATCGTTGGATGCTCTCTGGAGCGAGCTACGTAGCCTCTATCCATTAGTGTCGTGCATCTACGATACTAACATGAAGCTGGACAACGAGGCACGTCTCCAGTATCCATCTGTTACTCCTCACCCTGATCCGCTTATCGAATAGGACACATCAGAAATCAACGATTCAGGACCCGACTTAACTGTCTTTCGCAAGTACGCGTATCGCGTCCACAAAGTAGAGCTTTCTGGATACGAAGGGGGCTGGAGGGCTACAGCTGTCCCTGATGACCTGGGGGTGTTTCACGTCCTTCGAATTCCCACACCACTCCTTCCCAATCTCACCCACCTGGCTTGGACTGATGAACTTAGTCTTGCTCTGCTCTGGCCTCTGCTCAATCCACGCTTGTTGTCTCTTCGCATCTCAAGCTTTCAGTGGAACCCGAAATCCACCCCCTTACTCCTGTCAAAAATACGTGGACTCTGCCCGGAGCTGAATACGTTGGGATTGTTATTCTATTTGTCAGAAGGATACGAAGCTATTGCTGAAAGCTTCTTATCCCGCGTAATCTGTTCATGGAAGAAGCTCGAGGTGCTCGACTACAGTCCCGTGGGTTGCGAATGCATCCTCAATCTTTCTGCATTATCATGTCTCAGAATTCTTCGATTGCGCGTTGACAACATATCTGATCTCAATCTGCCCACAAATTCCCTCTCATTTCCATCCTTGCACACACTCCAATTTCAAGCCAACAGCCTAGCGACTGCTAATTCCATCCTTCAAGCGATGAGGACCTTGCCCAAATCTATAGATATCTTCCTTCCAGTGTATCGATCGGGTGATGTTGGTGTGGACACGGTCGAGCCCATTCTGCAACCCATCAGTCAAAACGTGTCTTGCAGCAACCTTGAAGAATTTCGCCTGAACGTTCCCGCCTTTCTGAGCAGTGGTGCCATCAACGGCTCTCACGTGCTCAGACCCCTTTTCCTATGCTGCAACCTCCGTGTATTGCGTATAATGATGACGCCGCTGTTCTTACTCGTTGATGATGATCTGCGTGCCATGGCTTCTGCTTGGCCACTATTGGAGGAGCTTGAGCTGTTTGACTGTCGCAATTTGTACCCACCAGTTCCTCCCCAGCCCCTGCCTATCATGGACCTCCCCGGTGACGATGACGACGACGACGACGACGACGACAATGATCTCCCACCTGTGCCACCACTGCCTGTTGGACTCCCACCTGTGCAACCCCTGCCTGTCGGGCTCCCACCTATGCCACCCTTTACAATGATAGGTCCAGTGATGTCATTGCACCTAGATGCAACGGCATCGTTTCAAGATTACAACATGGTTCGTAGCACTCGGACTCCTGAGATCACCTTTCACGGTCTCATTTCGCTTCTGGAGTTGTGCCCCAATCTTCGCTTCTTTAACCTGGCTATCGACGCTACCAAGCTAGACGGATTGCGAGATGATAAACCAGGCGGTGGTGTTTGCAACCGACTGGTCAAATATCCCAGACTTGTTGATTCTCACATCAGCGACCCAGAAGCAGTTGCTCGCATCCTCCTTGACATACTTCCTGAACTCGAGACCATTTGGGGGGAGGGTTCTCCTGGTCCATTTACAGCCATGTACAGCTCAACCCTGCCTCAAGGATGGGACGACGTTCATAAAAAAATGCTAGATTCTAAAGCAGCACAGAGATTGTGATGTAGCCACCCTTATTATTTCACCATATGAGCCTCTGAGTCATTTCTGAATGACTGTATGTACTTCTTGAGTCGACTGATCACACATGTAGATACCTCACATAATGAGCCACCGTCCATGGGTACGGTGACCAACTTCTACGGCAGTGGAGGGTTCTGTTTTTTGAGCACAAAAGACGTTCCATTTACATAAAATTGGAGATCTGATGGATGTGCAATCAGGATAAACGTTGCAGCCATACTTTGTGTGATGTGTTACAAATAGCCGGTTGGTGATCGGAGTTTAAAAACGTAGGGGTCTCTGGATTCGAGGCAGATAACAAACCAGTGCAGATAAGCACGAATTCGAACTAAGATTACGCATGTACAAGAAAGCAAATGAAAAAATAGAAAGCACGCAAATCGAACGATTAATTGGGTTTCCCCCATACAATACTAAACCTCTCTATCATACAAAATACCGCCACAAGGAACAGAACATCCACATCCACATGCGTCTCAAGGGTCATTCATCTCTTTCTCTTGCCGACAGCACGAAAGCCATGCGAACCACATCATAGTACGCAGTTGAAGAACGTCCTCCTTCCACGCCATGGACTGGTTTTGTTCCCGGAATTCGCGTGTTAATTTCTCACAGCGCTCAATATTCTCGGGGCTGACGAAATCGACTGCGACTTTGATACAGTCCGCGAGATTGCATACCTGCATTGCAAATTATGAGCGTCAAAGCACAGCAAAAAGGTACATGACGAACCTGATGAGCGCAACCGGCTGGGATGAATATGGCTTCGCCTGGTCTTTGATATACCCGATGGCTCTTGATGCCATGCGTATCATATAGTTCTTTCCGTAGCTGAGCATCCAGGTAGAACTGTTGTGAGTGGATCGGGTCGTGTTGATATGAGCCCTTGAACTTCCTCCGAAGGAAAGTACGTAGTTTCTCTGCATCTTGGGCACGGAAGAGGTCCCATGCTGCGCATCCTGGTCTGCCATCTGGCGTAGTAGACGCGTATGTCATAATATTTACGGCATCAGCCATGTCCATGTGAAGTCTCGTTGACCCCTTGCTGCCTGCCGACTCGAATGACGACATTGCATTGTACATCTTGGGTCCTGAGATAAAGCTCAATGATTAGCCGATCTTCATTCGTGGTCATCGTGACGCTTACCTAAATCAGGTGCAACTGTATTGCTAGGGAAATGTGAGGCAATATTGAGCGTTCCATCTCGACGAACATAATTGGGCACGGGTACAGCCCGACTGAAATCCTCAAAAAGTTCAGGAAATGCTGTCTTGAAATCTGTTGATGGCGGCCAATCCTAGAGATACGCACTAAGTGTGCGTCAGGAATCACACTCGTAATGGACGCACCTTGAGCTTCCAGCACTCCACCCGCCCTTCATATTTTCCGAACCACGAAAAGAACTCGCCTACCGTCACACGCTTATTCACATCGCTTTGGCACTCCAAAATGAGGCAGCTTTGAGAGGTGTACTTTTGTACGAAATACTCAGGCGTCCACTGAATCTGGAACTTGGGCAGCAACTCGGTGACCACAATTGGTTCTCCTTTAGCCCACAACGGACGGAATATTTCCTCTGTAAGCTGCGAATCCGGGATGGTGGTGGTCGGATGTGAAGGTATGTCACTTGACTGAGTATAATTCTGATCAGCGGACGGTGGCACTACGGGGGCTAATAGCGGTGGCTCGGCGACTCGTGAAATAGATGAAGTAGTTGTTGGCGCCGATTCAGGATGGAAGACGCCGTCTTGTGATAAGCCGTGTTGGGAAGCAGAGGAGATTGACGACTCTGGCGCCGGTGCGGATGCCTCGCCGCCGATCTGTGAATCTGAAATCTGCGCAGAGGATGGAATGCCCCCGTTTGCCTGTACTTGTTCCACATGCAGTAATGGATCTATTGGTCCGGCGTCAGGGAGCGCATCATTATCCGGCTCCAGAAGCATAGCTTCCATGTCCTTAATCGCCTGCGCAAGCTCGGCCTTGCAAAAGCGTGACATCGGTGAAAAGTCCTTTGCGTGATGCTCGTTCCGCCGCGTGCAGGACAAGAAAAATGGGTTGCTATGAGCATGTTTTTCTCGGCGGGCTTGGAGAGCAGCAATCTCAGCCTGGCCTGCACCAGGTTTATCTTCGGTGAGATCTTTCACTTGTTCAAAACATTCTGCACATGCTTCTCTCCCGCATAATCGGCACATCCAACTGCTGGAGAAAATCGAGGTCATGCATGTATCTGCGATGAAAATAATATTAGGCAAACGCGAAAGATAAAAGGTCGCGCGACACTGACCACAAGTGGCGCGCACTTCGCTTTCTCGGGTCCTCCGGATGATCTCTGGATAGTTCAAGTGTTGCAGCTCCTGAAGAAGCGTCGGGAGAAGAGCCTGAGCTATCGTCCTCTAATTACTCAAATGGTTAGACTCGACATTTCGTCAAAACTCATAACAGATTGTTTCTCACTTTCGTTCGCCGTATATGCGTGGGCGTCAGCGAGACATTCCAGCTCACGGGGAAACTCATGTTTGGTGCATCAGCTCGTTGATTCTCAACGAAGCTGACACCAACAATATTTC